AGCGGGGATTTTCGGATTTACTCGAACAACGTGGCAGAATAACATAAGGGGGCTACCTTGCCCCTTGTGAAGTACTCGCACCATACCTGAGCCGTTTCTATAGGGTGTCTAGGGCTGTAAAAAAAATACAACAAACGCCCGTGGTTTTTAAATAAAATAAAAAAAAAATCATTCATTTCGAGCAACATAACTCATAATCATTAGTATAGAAAAAGGTACATGACACTAAAAATACAACTTATTAATTTTACTTATTCATTCAAAACAGTTTTTTTAATATCGTACATTTTATTTACTTCTTTTTTATTTAATTATATATGTACAGAAAATCAATAATATTTAAATATAGTAGTTATTTATTTTAATATTGTAATACTTTAGGTTAAGGTTTTGGTCTCGATGCGCGGCCATTCGGAGACGGGTTCCGCGACCACACCCGCCCTCTCGGCACGCACTAGGGGGACCGCGGTCTTCATAGTGCGTGTCGGGTACGGTGCAGTAGTATTGTCTGGTTTTTAGTGGCCCTGTTCAGGGCGTAGGTGGGGCCCTGTTCACATCAGCGAGCACCAGGGCTGGCTGAAGAGGACAGGGAGGAGTCCCACATACCTTCTTCTCGCTCCCCCAGTGGTTGAAGGATGCGTAAGGCATTTTCTAGACACAAATAAAAAAAGGTTTTGGTCGCGCAAATCGCACGTCTTTTGAATAGGAGCTGAACTGAACTCAAAGAGCCAGTCTTTTGAATTGGGTTGGGTTGATAAGCGGCCATTTGACACTCATGCAGCCGTCAGTCAATTCTGTCATGAATGATAAAAAACCACCAGTCTTCGTCCGTGACTGAAAGAGTCATTACCTCTTTGGACGACAGGTTATAGTCATAACCTTGACTGCGAGCAAACTGACAACAAAGCCTACCATCTAATGGCCGCCATCCATGGGCTTGTGCCTAGGGTTACAATTTGTTTCTATCAAATATAGTTTTTTCGAAGTATTAAATAAAATATAGAAAAGGGCAAAAATGGAAAAAATATAGTGTGTTCAAATTATTGACTTTATTTTTGAAATGAATGCATTTTTGATACTCTATGCTTTAATAATTAAATGTTTTTTTTAAGAAAGCTTTTACTGGCAAATATCTGCTTTAAGCAAAATATAAGTAGTAGTTTCACTTACTATATATTTTTTTTAGAAATATAGTATTTGATTCCCTTTATTATATAGTAGAGTTGGCAACTGTACCTACTTGTGCCTCAGCGGCGGTGACATTCATAATATGCTTACTTGTTCAATACATTGCTTGCTGAAATTAACAATGAACCAAACAAAAACATATTTAAAAATAAATTACAGAAATATTATTTATGTAAATGTTTAAAAAATAATTTCCCTATATAATTACCTGTTATATAATAAATATAAATAGCAAATAAGTAATTATCTAAGCATTTTAAAGTAACAATCACATTGTAGACCAGTTTGTATGTTTTTGTGGGACTATGTAATAACAGAAACTATGTCGTTAATTGTGATTTGGTTGGAAATAAATGAAAAAAAAATGCTGATCACTTTTTTGCAGAAAGCTGACGCAGAAGCAGCAATCAAAAAAGAAGAAGATAAGCAAGAAGAGAAGTCAGCAGAGGAGAACGCAGCGGAGGAGAAGACAGCAGAGGAGAAGACAGCAGACAAAACTGAAGAACAGCAACAGCAAAAGGAGGCATAGAAAAAATACTGTTTTTGTTTACGAATGGTTATTTAAATTAAATTAATTTATTTGCATTTGTCTACAGACATTAATTATTTTACATAAACACCTATCACCCACACAGGAGAGCGTTTATAGTAGTTTATACCAATGTACCTAATATTAAATATCACGACCTGATGTTCTAACTTGGTTGTAACCAAAATATCATACTAATTTCTTTCAAATAAAAAAATGGTGTGGTTGGTTTTTATGAAACCACAATGCAAGTGAAGATTTTACAATCATAAATAAAAAAAAGTTCCTCCTGGGAATCAAATACGGACCGCCCGCGTGGCAGGCGAGCCTTCTACAATACCACTGAATTATCGACCGATGCTTGTTGTTGATAAGATCTGTTTTTTTAGTACCCAACAATAATAAATGTAATGCAACTTGTTAAAGAGGAATGAAAAATATTGTTGAGAGGTGTACTAAAAACCCTTATCTTAAACCCGAGTTGTAAGTTCAAAAACTTTCTTAATTTTTTCCATAAAGACCTGGGGGCCATTCGCCTAACGGAAATGCTTTGGAAAACGCTAACGCTTACGATTTCATTTTGTTATTTCTAGCCGCCTTTATTTATTTATTATTTATTATTATAATTCTTAAACCCTTTCTTATGTTTTATTGTGTGACTTGCGTGTGACCAAGGGACCACGCACAGTATCACAGGGATATAAAGGAAAATACCTTCTCACAACGAAGTAGGATTTAAACTGTACTATGTGTATGCATTTTTTACTTATGAATGAAAACAACTATTTATCTTATTATTAAAGTGAAACTTTAATTATATGGCCACTCGCATGTCACATTACATAAAGTTTTTTATTCGATGTTTCATGGACAATAGTCTCTAAACGGCAGTAAGACTATGTGTAAGCTAGTGTAGGATGGATTACGATATCATCATCATCAGCTTATTAATGTCCGCACTGCTGGGGCACAGGCCTTCCCTATAGATGAAATAGGGAGATTGGCCCCGCCCGTGACCACCACGCCACGCGGGCCCAGTGTGGATTTGTGGGTGCTAATGACTGTAGATGCAGCTGGGACCAACGGCTTAAAGTGGCTTCCGAAGCACGGAGGAGCTCGAGATAGTAAATTTTCGGTCACCCATCCAATGATCGACCACTGCGAAAACTACAACTCCTATGGAAAAAAACACGGCTCGGATTAATGAATTAATCTAAGGTTCACGGTCAACAATGCTCGCATGCTAATGCATGCTTGGCATTTATACCTTTGTTTCCGTTCTCTTAATAAATTCGTTTTCTTCAAAGCACCACGCGTGCTGGCCTACGTTGCCAGTTGCCACCGACTAACTGTGACCACTATTCCAACGCGTACAAAGAAGTTTGGTGGTGACGTATTTCTTTGTCGCACTATCTGTTAATGGAATGCTCTGCCCGCTCACGTGTTCCCTTCCTCTTACTACCTGGGATCCTTTAAAAGAGGCGTGAAGAAGCAACACAAGGACTTTGGGGTGAAGTCATTTGTCGAACCCATCTATAAAACAAAAAAAAACGGTTTCACACGACAGTCGCTAATTCATGGTTTTATAATGTGTTCTCTTCCTTTTGGCATCGGTTTCTTGGGTGAAATGATCAGTCTTTCATGGGTTTAATTTGGTGATTCCTGTATCAAGAGTCATTTTTGGAGACTGCAAATATTGTTGAACTTAGTTACTTCTTCCAGTATAGAAAGCCAGAATTGTATAATACGTTAGAAAGGTAAAATCACAAACAGCCGGCAGGAGCAGGACCTTGTATCTAGATTTGCTTTTGTTGGATCTTGAAAATGTTCCAAACTACTTAAAATTGTCTCTGTTTTCTTTTACAACTTTTACTGACTCATAATGAGAGCTCCAGCAAGTATCCGATAAACGTGTTAATTTTTTCTAGTTTTCTCTTTCAGCAATTGCCATCTCTGTGTAGATGACGAAAAGGACGAATATAATAATCTCTACAGTTCCAAAACACGTGACGCTGGAAGGAACGTATACAAATGCATGAACTTCACAAAGATTCAATTTAGAAAAAGGACTGAACAGTGCCTTTGGACTTTTCGGATTTTTCGTTGCACCCGTCCATGGACACCTGACATTGACGCGGCATTGTGATAACCTTGAGCCCTGCACAACGCAATATCCAGTCCGTCTTTTTCCAGCTGTTGGTGAATGTCTTTTGACATATCCTCAATTCCTCAGTAGTTTTTCCAGATTTAAAAATAAACCCAAGAAAGATTCTCGTACTTCCACTATGTCATTCTCTATATGAACGAATTTATTGATTTGACTCATTTGATAAATACTTTGCTACCTTTGACCCACCAGCAGCCTCTTATCAGTAGGCTGTATAAGTAAAAGTGAATTATTTGCACTTCACTCATTCAGGGATTCCTGAGGAAGTACCTGCTACAAAGACGGGAATTCCCCCAGCATATTGGACACGTTCAGCAAAGGTAAAAGAATATTAGTACCGCGTAAAAAGTCTAGACGGCTGTAGTGTTTTGATCTTGATGAAATTATGTAGGTACTAAGAACATTTTTAAATTATATTTTTTTTATTTTTAAGCATGTAACTGCTTGATGCTTAAATCTAAAGAAAATATAATTAGAAAAAAATCCACGCAGACCAGGCAGCAGACGGGACTCGAACCCGCACCCTTCGCAATCCGTTCGAATGCACTGACTAATTATGCTACCGCGACCCTGATAGCCGCGTCTAAATTCTCCTAGCCATTCTTAAGCTGCAAGGCAGCGCCATCTCTTTAATGTTTAATACTTGTAAAAGTATTCATTTGACATTGTGGGTTACCTACAGTGCGAAGAGATGGCGCTGCCTTGCAGCTTAAGAATGGCTAGGTCTGCTGCCTGGTCCGCGTGGTTTTTTTCTAGCACAATTAACATACATAGTTATATAATTTCATGACTATGGGTTCCTTGTTGTCTATGGAACCATAAAAACCATTAAAAAGCCCCACAAAAACACAAATTCTGCAGCACCTGGTTCACTGGATTTTAAAGTATAGTAAAAAAAATAGGGTGCCTGAATAATATAACATTTATTATGAATTGAGGTATCATAAAATTTAATGAAAAATTAACCCATCAGATGCTAAAAAATCATCTTTCCTTTTCATCATGACAAGATAAAACAACAAATACCAATTTCTTTTATTTGTAAAAATCTTTATTTGTTGCCATCAAAACTAAGCCTTAACAATTGTTGATTAAAGTGTATATTTACTTAACTTTTTCAATATGAATACTTAATTATAATATGGGTTAACTAAAAGCTTGTTTATAAACATAAAATATCAAATTATCGGTTAGCATAAAAAAGTATAATTATCCATAATAATACATGAGAATATGTGTAATTATAAACTAAGAGTTATCGGTCATAACGTCTTCATCTTCGTCCTCCGGTTCAGCGAGATCAGGATGGCAAACCCTTATGTGAAGGTTGAGATTGATTTTTACAATGAAACTCTTTCCACACGTCTGGCATTTGTGTGGTCTCTTCACGTCATCTTCTATGATGGAAGGGTGTGATCTAGCGATATGTGTACGCAGCAACGAAGCATGCAAAGTTCTGTCGCACTGAGGACATTTCACTTGGCAATCCACAGGCTGCCCTTCATGTGTCTGTCGATGCTTTTCCATTGTTATTTTGGACACAAACAATTTAAGGCAGAAGTCGCACTTGAAGTTTTTCACTTTTGTGTGCTTTTTCATGTGAATTTTAAGGCAATTCTTTGTGGGGAACATCTCGTCGCATTTTGAACACTTGAATTTCTTAACATCATTGTGTAACTGCATGTGGAGTTTCAGATATGCCTGTCCGGTAAAACTTTTGTTACAGATCTCACAGTTTATTGTGCTGACCGAAGAGTGAGTTTGCATATGGCTTTTCAAGAACTGAGCTGCAACAAAACTGCGGTCGCACACTTGACAAATGTACTTTTTGGAAGCTGCACCTTCATGCTTGCTGTGGTGAATGTCAAGGTGATACTGAGAATTGACTTTGACATCACACTGGTCGCATTTGAATTTACGCCGCTTTTTCGGGCCCTCCTTGACCACTGTTGGCTCTGGCTCAATGATAGGTGGTTCTTTGTCATTGCCATGAAACTTTTTGTGCAACATCAAGTACTCCATACCTTCGAAAGTCAGATCGCAAACGTCGCATCTGTACCGCGCGTCGCTTTGCTGTTGTTTCAACTCGTAGGTCACAGTTTCCGGACCATTGTATGGTTCACCCATTTTTTCGCGTTTGACACAATTACGGTTGTCTTTGTCGCTACCAGCCGGCTCCATCATACTTTTCATCCAGTGATCTTGAATGCCGACGCCGGATTTAGTCTCCATTTGCAGATTCGTGATGACGCTAAGTGGACGCTATACGCACATAATAGTAACTACGATATTGATCCATAAAACACGGCCGCTGATTCCCAAATTCGAGAAAACCACTTATTTCCGCGATACAAGTCCTAATCGCGCATTGTTGATGAGTTTTCCGAGGATATTTTACCACAAAATGACACGGTAACACAAAAGGGAGCCTTGTTACAGTACCATAAATTCCAAAAGAGAAGCGGAGCGCAATCGTTTTTTTCTGGCGGCTAATGACAGAAGCTACTTTTTTTTAATTGTTAGTTGACGTACAATTTCTTGCCATTGTCAAAAATAATACAAGTGTCCTTGGGATTTATTTAAAATATTTACACTATCTATTTCAAATAATACACTTTACAATGTTTAAAAATTTTGTAAAATAAAAACTTTTGAACGCATCTTCTATGATCATAATTACATATTTTGTACAAATGGCATTGGATTTGATGTTTATTAGCAAACTCTCAGAATATATTGCAATTAAATTTGATAAAAACGTGTCATTTCTAATGACTATTTTACAGATTATTCAATAATAGAATGAGTTGGTTGCCATATCAAAATTACGAAGAATAGGCATTATAAGAAAATTTATTCCACTTTAACATTTCTATTTATTTCATAAATACCAACGGAAGTGTAATTTAATATGGCCATTGTAGATAGAAGGTGCTTTTGGCAAAACGATGCACAACAGCATTAATCACGCCCTAAGAAAACTCAAGGTGGACCATGTCAGCAGAGGTTGGATCACCGAACAGGGGGCCATCCGCCTAAAAGGATTGCTTTGGAAAGCGCTATCGCTTTCATTTTGTTATTTCTGACCGCCGAAGGTTTTTAAATACCTCACGCCCATTTTCTTTAATATTGTTATTATCAATGCAAAAGAAAAAAAAGAGCGCGAGGCATTTGAAAACCTCAGGTAGCTAGAAATAACAATATGAAATCGTAAGCGATAGCGTTCTCCAAAGCAATCCCGTTAGGCGAATGGCCCCCTGGTCGGCAAAAGTGCGGTTCAGATAGTGGGGAAGTGTGTAGTGACGCGTGCGAAGGTAGTTAGAGGATGTCTTGGCGAGCGTAACAGCAACTGGATGCATGAGAACAACTCTTTCGGCTGCATTAGAGTGAGTACCTCATAAATTTAAGACCACTAGACCTGGTCATACAAGAACAGGCGAAGGCAGCTTTGAGTCTAAAGTCTCTAAGCTTATGGAGATTAAATACTGTAATATCACACTCCCATATTCTACAAAAGTGCATGAAGGAGATCCCACAGCTGGAGGCACCTATGGATCTATGGATAGAATATTGAGTCAACACGTCTTTGATCGAAGATACAACATCCAACTTACCGCGGAAAAGGCAGATTACTCTGGCGCCGGGGAAGTTAGGATATACACGGATGGCACCAAAATCAACAGTGGTACTGGAGCCGGTGTCTTCTCAAACGAAATGGATATAAAAATATCAACCTTAGGCAAACAAAGCACAATCTTCCAGGTGGAATGTATTGGCATTACCAGAGCGGCACAGGCGGTTGCAGCCAGAGATATCAGAGAGTTTAACATCAAGATCATCTCTGACAGTGCATCTGTGCTTCAAGCCCTAAGTAGCAACACAATAAACTCTGTTCTTGTGTGCCACAAGGCACACAAAGGACATTGCAGCTCAATTGGAAATGACGCAGCAGACGAACTGGCTAAGAGGGGAGCAGACACAAAAGTGTATGGTCCGAAACCTTTGCTGCCCATACCTCAGGCCCAAATTAAAACGTAGCTGCGTGAAATAACTCAGAAATCACACTTGACAGAGTGGAAAACAGGTGAAGAATGCCGGCAAACGAAAAACACGGTTCCGGCGGCAAACAAGACTCGCCCGCACCCTTACGCCTTGGCCACGTAGACTGGCTAGGCTAAGCGCGGGTGACTTCTGCGGGTGCGGGTGGCATGCCACGTACATTCAGTAGCGGCTACAGCGGCTGACTAAAGTGGACGTATTGAGGATGGCTCTAACTAAAGTGATGTGTAGTTGCCTTGACAGCAGTTCGTATTTTATGGCGAATACTATACTATATTTGTACCTACTTATTAGTCATTACGTATTATCTAATAAAAGTTATTGTCCTGATCTTATTTATTTAATTACATAGTCTTTTAATTACATTTTTATACTTGTGTTATGCTTAGACATCCATATAGATGGTCGGTTTAATATTTGTGTAATAAATGCTTCGGTGTCCATAATAAATGCTGCCGCTCGTGGATTCGTCCAAAAAATTTTGTTTGACTCGATCCGTCCCACGCTAGCTGTTTTCAACCGCCCGAAAAACCGCTGTGGACCGTGGCCATGCGCAAACTAGCCCATAGCTTAGTTTCCACCCGCCCGGCTGGCCCGCTACCGCTGTCCCGAACCGCCGCCGCCAGCCGCAGCCGCTCTAGCCCGCCGCGCGCGAGTCGTGGCATACTTCATACATTTGTTTAATAAGCCAACCGCTGCCGCCACCCGCAACCGCTCCTAGTCCGTCTCCGTGGCCAAGCACTTAGGCGCTTTGCAGTAGACGGGGCGGGGCGGGCCGGTCAATTTCGCCGCGAACGATAGCACAAAGTGAATCCTATATAACAAACGCACACAGAGGGCAAAAAGACCGCGCCGCAGGTACCCGGCGGGCACTGGCGGCGCGGCATGTCCGCGGCTGCGCGCCGTGGATCATACAAACCAGTTTACGCGCCAGTTTATAAAACGCGCGGGGCGGTCAGCTCAGCCCGCGCCACGCGCTTTTTAGTGATGGACTATTCACTAGAACGAACGTCCTGAACTGACCGCCTCTGCCCGTCGTGTGCTTTGTGTACGCGCGCGGGCAGCCGCAGACATCGACGGGCAGACGCGGTTTTTATTGCTTCGCGGACAAAATGCCCGTCCCGCCCCGTCGTCTGCAAAACGCCTTACCAGACTAAAAAGGGCAAACTTCGCAAGATTATAGGAACCCAGGCTGGTCATTGTCATTGTCCCCTAAACAAACACCTTTGAACAATAGGAGTAACAGACAGCCCCCTATACAGTGGATGCATGGAGGCAGAAGAAATGCCACAGCATGTCATCATGGAATGCAGGAGCGTGGCCGACCAACAGGCACGTCTTCTCCAGTCGCCAGAATCGTTTCCGGAAGCTTGCAGCAGTCTACCAAGGGTGCTTTCCTTCTGGACCAATATAGGCCGACTGGAGTAAACTGGAATGTTTTTGAGACACGCACAATGGTACAAAAAATCATCATCATCATCAGCTTCTTAATGTCCCCACTGCTGGGGCACAGGCCTTCCCTATGGATGGAATAGGGAGATTGGGCCATGACCCACCACGCAGGTCCAGTGCGGATTGGTGGGTGCTAACGACTGCAGATGCAGCCGGGACCAACGGCTTAACGTGCCTTCCGAAGCACAGAGTAGCTCGAGATAGTAATTTTTGGTCACCCATCCAATGACCGACCACTGCGAAAGTTGCTTAAATTCAACGATCGCAGCCGAACGCGCTAACCACCTGCGCCATTGGCTCACAATTGAGTACAAAAAATAGTAGTAGTAACAAAAATTATTGTACCATTGTGCGTGTTGCATGCGGAAACCGCCCTGAAAAACTATGGCCATTGTAAAATAATAAAAAAACATGATAAATTACTTTATTTCTTTAACTAACAGTAAGTACATAACAGACTAGTTTTTGTTTTGAAGAGATGGTGAAACATTTTTGCCTAAAACATTTTCTTTATATTTTAACTTCTGCACATTAGTAGGGTCATTCAGGACATCCTCATCTATCTGTCTATCTACTCTTTGATCTTGAATGGGCTCTGGAACAAAATACATAGTATATTTTCTAACATAGTAGTTCATAATAAAATATATTTCATATTGCTGCTGAAGGGGGGATGCAGGCAATGGTTTTTCCATACAAACATTCTCGACTGATTGCTCCTTGATTTTTATCACTAAAGAATTTATTTATTTCTATACATAAAATATAAATTTACTCATTCTATGCTCTTATGTCTTCCTTTTTTGGTAACTTGTGTTTTAAAGAAGCAAGAAGCCCTCGAAAAAGGCCAAAAATAAACAAATTTGTATCACCAATAAACAGTGTGGAGATATAATATGCATTTACAAAAAAGTCAAAAGTTTGTTTCTTGCACTTTTTTTAATGAATAAGAAGTAATACATTAAACAAATATAAGTACCAGCCAATGGGCCTGAAGCACTTTGCACTTTAGTTTTAACTATGCTCACTCTACATTACGAATAAGTGTTTAGGAATTTTAATGAAATGACAGCTGATGACTTACACGACTTAATTTATTTTATTAATAAGTACACATATTTCATCATCATCATCATCACAGCCTATTAATGTCCTGCTAGGTCACAGGGCCTTTCCTTTTGACTAGACTGTGACCACCATACGGGCCCATGTAATGCACGGGGGCCCGTGGGCGGCCCGGCATGGTCCGGGCCCACGGCCACGGATTGGTAGGTACTAACAGCAGCTGATGCAGCCAGGACCAACAGCCTTCCGAAGCACGAAGGTTTGGTTGCTTAACTTGTAATTAGCAAACGCTGAACACCCTATAACCACCTGGGTCATCGCACTCCTCATATTTAGCAGCATCATAATAAAAATATCATTTATAATATAATCTCTACACTTAGTTCATAAAGTGAATCAATGAAATTTTATTACAGAACACTATCTGCAATAAATATTTGAATTTCCATTTTAGGTACAATGTTTACTTACTGTTGTAAGGTGTATATCTATCTGAAAGAAGTCCTTCTAAATTGTATCCTATTATGCCTACTATCGCAGCAACTGGCAAAGTTATGTAAGGAGCATTTGTTCTTAGAAATTGCATTAATATTGGCCACATCTGTAAATTGCAATTTTACCAAATTATTTGCACTACTTAGTCACCTATTAGAATTTATTTGAAGCCATTGTTCACTATTTACTGTGAGGTATTTATTTGAAAACCTTTTAATTATATGTGGTAATTGAAAACCAATTTAATTGCTAAGGCTTTATAATGCTACTTACATTGATATTCCCGGTAGGGGGGGAAAAAAATTAAAACAGTTGTTTAAATAATATAAATGTAAAGATATTAAATAAGACAATTTTTAAACGACATTATTACTTCAGTAGATGCAGGAAAAAACTTAACTTTTATTCTTTTTCTTTTAGAATAACCTAAGATTTTTGCACTATGTTTGTCAAATTTAATGACCGTTTTTTTTAATTATTCATGACCATGGATACAAGTCCATCAGTCGTACCTATACATAAATTCTTAATCTTCTTTTTTTGCATTAGAATGTCGGTGTGACGCATTCTAATGTTTGGCACAAAATGTATCGAGTCGGCTTTCTCGACAAACTTCTGTGAGGTAGTCAACACCACAATAAAGTTCTCACATCCACTTGAACAACATAGCGAATATTTTATTGTTCTTCAGTTTCCCAGACGTTTGTAACACAAGATCACACCAATATTATTTCTCAATATCCACTACGAACGAATTTAAAGAATAATGAAAATATGACGATAGTTTTCCACCATCAACCAATAATCTAATGTCAATAAAAAAAGAAGATTAAGATTTGTATTTATGTATACGACTGAAGAACTTTTTTCCAGGGTCAAGAATAATTAAAAAAAATTGAGCATCCACGGCCCACGGAGCTTTACATTTTATGTCGAGAATAATCGAGATTTTATTTTGCTTTTTTAAAATAGTTCTTAGCTGAGAGAAAAGTTTCAGTAAAAATGAACTGTAGCGCCCTGTGATTTGTGTACCGATTTGTAAAAAAATCCTTAGAATATGGCACAAGCAAAAGTTTTCCATCTGTCCGCAAAGTTTGTGCTGTCCAGGCATCTGTTCTCCGAATCGAAATGTTTACAATTCAGAAATAAATCTACGAAAATCAAGACTGCTAGCTCCGTTTACAGAACTATGAATATTTTTGATAGGAAAGCTAAGATCTTGCAAAGAGAGAGGTCAGCTCAACGAGATGATTACCACTTAGTTGAATACATTAAAGAGGAGGTCGGGTGGAGAACTGCCGATAGAGTATTTGATATTAAAAGGACGTTTAAGAATGCAGTTGAATTAGGTAAGAGTTATCCTAGTTATTGCTATAAGTATGTAAACTTGACCTAAACCGTGGCTTTGTCCCACGATCTGTGTTGTCGTGGGCGAAGCCGCGCCGCGAAGGTTTGCCAAACGTATGAGAACTCTAACGTTCGAGATTTAGCAGTATCTATACATTATACAAGGTAAATAGAAATCTCGTACACTTTGTTACGAGATTTGAACAATGTTGACTGTTGTGTCATGTAAACAAACCAAAATGCCATCAGTAAATGCATTCTTTTTCGTATCATCGTATCATCACCTCATATAATGAATAGAGATGCTAAACGTTAAGAGTTTTAATGTGTTTGGAAGCTCTGCGTGGAGCGGGCTACTCCGCCCAACACATATTGATAATAATAATATAAATAAAAGATCACAGTGTAGTGCTTTATAAGTGTGGTGCCTTACCTGCAGTGCTGGGTTATTCCCACCAACATGCTAGAATAGAACATTCATGCTACATAATAGAAGTAGAATGATATGTTTACAAGTATATTTATGTATATAGAAATACATATTAACATCCATGACTTAGGTACAAATGCTCTTATTCATCACACAAACATTTGCCCCACCTGGATTCAAACCCAGGACCTCTGAGTAGGTGACACCTTGAAACCTACTATTGTACATTCCACTTGACCACAGAGGTTTTCTTACATATATAATATCTTAATTTCAGGTGCTTGTAGAGGCTATGTTTCTCGTCATTTCCTTCCTGACAGCGTAGAAAAGGTCACCTTATGTGATAGTTCACAAACCCATCTAGATAAGGCAATAGTCGGTGATGGAGTGAAGGTCGACAGAATTATCATGGATGAGGAAAATATAGATGTGAGTATATTTTGTTATTTGGTTTGAGGTTTGATGGTGTAATAATAAAATAAAGGAAATGGTGTCAAATGTAATAGTAGAAAATATTTTTTTTAAATGGATAGGTCGAAATTAATTAAAAAGAATACTCGGGCGCCAGACCTATCACATTATTATTAAACCATATTAGCCGGGAAAGCATCGAACTATTAATCGCAAAGGGGGTTTAATGCAAATCCATATTCATTTTGGTTTGTCTATATATTGAAATTTACTACAAATTTACCTACGTCCAAAAGGGTTACTGCTAAATTTAAAAACTATTCTACACTATGACTCTACCAAGAATTAAATGAAAATTTACCTTTAACATGGGTGCTGGTACAATTATGAATTTAGAATGTTACCGACCTCGCTGCATCTGATTTGGGTAGTATATGTCTGGTGTTGTAAATATTTAAGGGTGGCCGCTGTTACATCACGGGGCTGTTCACTTTCCCATCACGGGAAATGTTGAAATTTAAGTAAAAATAAAATCCAAATAAAAAAACGCTTTTCGCTGGAAATAAACATTCCGTAGATTAGCACATGGCTCACAACACAGGAAAAAATGTAAAACTAAGGAAATCACTAAGGTTCTTACCGTTTTATTAACAAATTAAGCTTGGTCATGGCCCTCGCCATTTTGTATGAATGATGCAAAATGTTTCATCTGAAAACAAAACAAATATATGAATAAAAACACTTTTTGAATTTGGAAAAACACTTACCATTAAAAACAATCGATAATCTAATGGATTGTCAAGTTAAAAATTTAGATTAATATATGACCATCTTTTTGGTCTAGATTTTCGTCGTGAAGTGAAGTGACATTAGTTTTTTCTTAAGTTCGTTTTCTCTTTCCGGGTAGGCAAAGAGAACAACGTCCAAACAGCATACTGCTTGATTAAGGCAGAATAATTATTCAAAAGTACATAGATTAAAGAAAATGGACTTGAGATAAAAACGAACAGAGAGAGACAATCTAAGAAAGTCTTCTATCTCGCTCTTCGAGCGAAGGAGATTCATGTAACGTTTTTAACACGTTACAATGGTTAGCGCATAAAGCCTAGGATCATGAAAGTTAAGCAACTTTCGCAATGAAGGGTCATTGGATGGGTGACCAAAAATTTTATGTCTCAAGCTCCTCCGTGCAACAGAAGGCACGTTAATCCATTGGTCCCGTCTCCATGACGTCGTTAGCACAAACCAATCCGCACAAGGCCCGCGTGGTGGGTCACGCACAGCCCAATCTCCCTATTCCATCCATAGGGTAGGCCTGTACCCCAGCAGTTGGGACATTATTAGGTTGATAATAAATGATGCAATATTAAATAAAACTAGTTTAAACGGGATAATGCACGAAACTTTATTTATTTATTGACGTTGAAATCTGCAGTGTGTGAACATGCATTAGGGGGACCAAACCACTACATTAGATTTGATAGACCACAGATCCTTGCAGCTGAGCGGCGTTTCGTTCCTCGAATGATGCGCGAGGCTATTGAGATTAAAAAATATCCAAATTTCAATAGGGAAGATGGTTGGTATATACCACCAGCTTGGGAACCTATTATACAGGAGATAAAATCCCAACCCCGAGCACATACTGCAAGGCCATCAGATACTATTAGTTCTTTTTGTTTGCATAATTTAACATAAGAAGGAGATAGAAAGCCTCTCTTGAGTTTGTTTCGCCGGTTCTTCTCAGGAAGGTCTCCCAATTTTGGAACCGGTGGTAGTTTACGGTAGTTAGGGTCAAATAAATAAACGCAAAATTACAAACAAGAATTTTAAATAAAATACTTTATTAAGTAAATTAAATAATAAATTCATACATAGACAATAAAACTTAAAAATCGAACGATGAAATAACCAAACGCTCAATAAAAGTCTTTCGAAGGTAGCTCGACAAATTAAACAAAAGTTTTATTCTGACGACGAAGCCTGGAAAGGCTACGAAACGTCAATAAATAAATAAAGTTTCGTGCATTATCCCGTTTAAACTAGTTTTATTTAATGAGTGATGTGCGTGAAAACCTAAGAAACAAATATGATGCAATATATTATTTCCGGAGCTCCATATTTTCATAAAGAGAAGAAAAACTAAAACCATGAAACTGTAACCCCTGTACCAAGTTTCTCAGTTTCCAGATGATTCGGTGGATCTCCTTGTATCCTCACTGGCACTGCACTGGGTCAACAACCTGCCTGGATGTTTCGACAAGATCATGAGGTGTTTGCAACCGGACGGGGTAAGTACAACAATCAACATAGTTTAGGTAACTTATATGAAAAAAAATGTTGGATTAATATATTGTGGGTAATTGAAGCTGCACCAGAAATAATAAAAATCACGAAAAAATTGTCAGGCTGATATATTTACATACAGTTTCACAAAAAATACATCCCAATACAACAATATTAAATACCATAGATACACCATGTGCACTCAAAATTGTGTCCCAATCAAAAAGTGCTTGAATATTCAAGCGCTTCTTGGTTCACAGTCCCGCAAGAAGTAATGTTGTTTAACTGGCAAGCATGCAACAAAATTGATAAAAGTCCTTAAGGACTGATGGCAATTCAGATTGAGAAAAAAAACTAAATAAAAATCATAATAAAATATATTTGTTTCCTAGGTTTTCATGCACTTCACTCATTAAATAAAAGTAGTTTTTACGGGTTAATGCACGAACCTTTATTTATTTATTGACGTTTCGTAGCCTTATAATAAAATATCTACGGAACTTTACACTGGTGGGTGGCACGACACTCACTTGGCCGGTTTTTATTGGATAGGAAAAACCTCGAAGTTGGTCCTAGATAAATTAGTAAACAAAAATCCAACCCTAATGGTGAAATAGGGGTGATCACAGATTTTGATGCCGAGTTGTATATTACAAAAATTAAAGCCACAAAAATAATAAAACAAAAACTTTTTAGCTAAAAATGAAACCGTTGAAAAAACTAAAAAGCAGAAACTTTTTGAGTGAAAAAAGTGGGATTCTTGCCTCGTAAGCGGAACATATATAATCAAAAGTTTTTGAATATTAGTCTTTTTATTTGAGTTCTAATTACGTTTACCTGACAATAAATAGGTACTGCGGCGATCTACTCTGAAGGGAGCTGCTGAGGCTGAGGCTCTGGGAGCGTAACAATATAATTGAAACAACTTTGATTTGATATTTTTATATATATTCATATTGACTGACTTTAAGTCAGGCGAATATAATATATGAGCTTAATCTTATTAACGCATGGTTTGGTGAATGTAGTCTATCTCATGAAATCTTCTATCAAACGACAGAGGATTCCTAATTTCAAATATTAAAATCATGACATTAACTTTTTAATATGACTGCCAGCCGTAGGCATTACATGAACAAAGAGTTTACCCAAACAAGGAGGCTGTATCGTAACGGACGTTACAGTACCTAGTAAAAATATCCATAAACATTTTTTGTATTTTAATTAAAATATAATATATTAAATCAGATTATCCTATCGTTAGCCGCCCGCGCTTTCTTCTTCAGTACGCTGCACGCACGGTCGAGTTATTCGCGAAAAGCGGGATTGAGCCTGACTGGGCGGATATTTAATTTTGCTTTAGAAATCGGGACGTCTGGCAATGCTGGCCGTGACCCACCACGCGGGCCTAGTGTGGATTAGTGCTAATGACGGCAGATGCAGCCGAGACCGACGGCTTTTCGTGGCCCCCGAAGCACAGAGGAACTCGAGATAATAACTTTCTGGTCACCCATCCAATCGCCGACCTTTGCGAAAGTTTCTTAACTTTCACGAACGCAAGCCGAATACGCAAACTACCTGCGCTATCGAGCTCCTCTTTTTATTTTGATAATGAATTAAACTTATTAGGCAACGTTTCCAGGTTTTTATGGCGACAGTTTTCGGTGGCGACACGTTAATGGAATTGAGACAGGCCCTTCAGTTGGCCGAGTTGGAAAGAATGGGTGGAGTTTTCTCCCATGTGTCCCCCTTCACTAGGATCAGGGATATAGGGGGATTACTTACTGCGTAAGTCACATTTTTTATATTATTTATTTAGGAGCTCGATGGCTGCGATCGTTGAAATTAAGCACCTTCCGCAGTGGTCTGTCAGTGGATGGGTGACCAAAAATTTACTATAACGAGCTACTCCGTGCTTCGGAAGGCACGTTAAGACGTTAGTCCCGGTTGCATCTGCAGTCGTTAGCACCCACCAATCTGCACTGGGCCCTCGTTATATTCGTCGTCGTGGTGGGTCATTGCCAGATCTTCCTATTGTATCCATAGGGAAGGCCTGGGCCCCAGCAGTGGGGACATTAATAGGCTGATGAGACATATTTAAGTCATTGTCATAGTTAAGACACAAAACAGTTAGGTACAGAAGGTAATCTTCATGCAAAGTGCGCTCATGCAACGCACACATAGACAGCGCTGACGAGCATGATATCTCGGACTGGTTGGGATAAGTGCGAGTACCAACCGCTTTAGACATGCGCCTGTGCACATTTTTGTGCAAAAATGTATGAACAAAAAATATTGTTGGTTTATATTTCCGTGCATTCAAAAAAAAACTAAATAAGAGTGTCATTACCAAGAAATTTTAATATGCATAAGCTAAAGTTCCACCATCGAAGTAGGTATTTTTTATTGTATTTTTCGTTTTAAGTAGTATTGCCGCTGCTATTAAACAATAAGAAAACAATTGTTATGTTTTAACTATGTAAAAATGTTGGGGCAAATAAATAAATAAATAATTCGAAGTAGGTATGGTAAAGTGAAGTACGGTGACATAACTGCGTGGGATAATATATGGAGCATGAATGGATCTGTGATTTTTATTTAAATTCAATTTTTAAAATCAATATATTTTCATCTGCCAAGTATTAGACTCTTAATAAAATACTCATGAGAAATAAAGTAAAACAAAAAAATGCTCGTATGAGTCTGTAATGTAAATTGTGTTTTCTTTCTTATTGTATTTTCTTTCCATGACAATGGTAGGATCGAGTGGGGGACAGTGTAACAAGCGGCATAGTGTAATAGAGGGAATAGCTCTGCCCTTTTCTTATTTGTCTATGATCTGTCTTGACGTGTTTTATTAGTCAAAAAATTAAAAACAAAAATGATATATTCAATCTAGGCTGTTACAAGCACTTGTGAAGGTCAAGAAGCTACGGCATTAATTCGCAAAACTACGGCGGGAGACCTTGTACTGAGAAGAACCATCAAGAAAATCAGCAAGGGCTGTTTTTTTTCTCCCTGTATTGTTATATACATAGTCGTCAAGTTGAAAAATGACTTCAGAGATACGTCTGAAGTCACCTTCCATTACATCATTTAGCATATAGATATATAGTTACAATAAATTTTATTGTTAACTTTATATTTGGTATATAGGAAGCGGCATCAGATAGGTACCATAACACTCGCTATAAAAAAAAATCTTAAACACTTCATCATGACGTGAAATGGCAGGGTATAATACAGAGGTCGCTTGCCACTTGAACCTTATATTAAAATTTTATCTACCTATCAAATGTTCTTACATTTGATACTAATGTGTTGTTTTTCCACCAACAGGAGCGGATTCACGTTACAAACAGTCGATATAGACACTCTTACCATATGGTACCCAACCGCGTGGGAGGTAATGAGGGACGTGCGCGCACTAGGCGAAGGTAACGCGGCATTTAACCGCCCGTTGCGGTTAAACAAACAAGTGCAGTTCGCCACGGCGGCTATATACGACGAGATGTATGGAAAGGTAAGCGTTTCATTTAAGTCCATGTTTAGTCCTGTTTTCTAATTAGGAAAAGTGTGTTTTGCAATGCTCCATTTATAGTAAACTGGCAAACCAGTGAACCAAATGTTCACCAAAACCTGATTTCTCGAAAACCGGAAGTGCTACGTTACTCAAATCCGGTTTGTAGTCTTATCAGACTATTCTTAACTTATAACTTAAATATTCTCTTTATCTATCTCTTACGGTTTGGCCGCTAAAACAGCACCACAGACAGACGGACTTGTCTAATAGATAAGAGATTACCGGAAAGTGTGCAAGAAGTTATACTGTCCCGATGTTACAAAGACCGTTAGTCAATATGTACAAGTCTCTAAATGTCCAAGAAGTCATAATGTCCAGATGTTATAAAGACCGTTAGTCAATATATGTATGTTTTTATGAGCTATCGGTCTTCCAAAAAAAATAAATAAATAAAAAAAAATGTTTCCAGGAAGTACCAGACAGGAAGTCTCGGGGAGTTCCAGCCACCTTTCAGATAATCAACTTTCTTGGTTGGAAACCGGATCCCACGCAACCCAAGCCAATGGAGAGGGGTACTGGAGAAATGTCACTGAAAGACCTTCACAGGATCGACGAGATCATAAAAGATACGAAAAAAGTTGAATTACGCGACGAAGACATGAAATGAAAATCGATTCATAAGAAAATCACAATAAAGTCACAAAATAAAAAGTCACAGAAGGTCGGCTCAGCAACAATTAAAGAAAGACCATTTACACATTGATGTATCCCAATAATACTCGGAAGAACAATTTTGATTTAAGCGGTGTGATAACTAAATAATTACTATGATGAGGCGACTTTGTTCAACCTAACGCTTAGACCGTAAGTAATTTCTAAATCTGTGGGAGTTTTACTCCATACTTTATGTACTTTTATATACTCTTCGATTTCATCGGTCTAGAGAGCACATAATTAAAGAAATTTAAAGCGAAATATTTTAGTATAGTTACGTGTCAGGATGGGGTTCGAAATTATATGCCAGTTCATGCATGGCAGTGCTTTATTCACCACACAGTTAACACACAATGTTTATCACAATACACTCACTAAACACTTCACTATACAAGTCTTTATATAATCGCACTTGAACACTGTACTTGCACTTTGATCGCCTTTGTATTCGTTCCGAAATCGCTGTTGAAACTCAACTGTGTTGTCTATATTTCTTTTTTCTAGAAAAGTCCCTTTAAATTGTGAGTTAACTAGCACCCGCGAGTGCGTAGTACCATACTGTACGCAGGTAACGCGCATAAGTTGTAAATAAGTGCAGATGTCGTTGAACTGTCTCCCTAATGCCGCACTGCATAAAGCTCATATTAGAATGAGCCGCACCACTCAAACTTTGTCCCGAATATTCACGTCGAGACCTGCGGTATTCTGGTAAAATCTGTCTCCAGTATTTTCCCGGTTTTGTTTCGAGAGCGTTTGTGACAGTATTTCAAAGTAAATATTTTAATAAACTGCTCATGAAGATGTTAATCAAACTAAAGTAAAAAAAGGATTCTCTACCTGCCTATCCGTAAAGCTAAGACAGAAACAAAACACATGAAATTACAACGCGTTTATTTTTTATTAATTAAATAATTTTAAATAAGCTCTGTCTGCATCTATGTTTGACTTAGAACTTAGTTCAATATTATTTTATGTAAATTATTTATTGTTAACATTGTTAAAAAACATTAATGATTGTTAATTTATTGTTGTCATAATAAAGTGTTGAAATTATCATATTGTATTTATTTCGAAAAGATTCAACCAAAAAGTATGTACTACATCTTGGGTTGTCTAAAACTGGGATTTTATCATTTTTTCTGAAATTGATGTTATGATATGAAAACAAAAATGATTTATTAATTATTTATTATAAAATCTACAGAAATATTAAAATTTAAATACCTCTTTGTTTTTCTAATTAATAAGATAATAACAATAAAAAAATGTAAAAGAAATTACTTACAATCGCAATATATTTGTATCATATTATTTCATGAGCTTTTTCCAGAGTAGGCGTTGAAAAGTCTGATACTGTAAATCTAGAGATAATAAGGACAAAATGAACAATATAATTTACTTACATACTTAATTAACACGGAGGATCTATTCAATAAAAAAAAGGAACAAATAACAGTTTAACAAAAGTAGTCTCCATTTCAGTTGATACGCTAGGTTGAAGCCATATTTATTTGTTAATGTAAAAAGAAATCCTCTATAGGCAATCTAACTTAAAACTCTTAACCCCTAACCCAGGGATGGGCAAACTACGACCCACGGGCCATCTCCGGCCATTGAATGACTGAAACCCTGCCCGCGACCATCAAACAAAAATTAAAGATTCACCATTAAAAAAGTACCATTTTATCACATGTTCCTACAAGGCCACCCCGCTGCCGAACCAGGGGGGCCATTCGCCTAACGGAAATGCTTTGGAAAACGCTAACGCTTTCGATTTCAGTTTGTTATTTCTGACCGCCGAAGGTTTTCAAATACCTCACGCTCATTTTATTTAATATCGTATTACCAATGCAAAAGAAAAAAAAAAGAGCGCGAGGCATTTTAAAAACCTCAGGCGGCTAGAAATAACAAAATGAAATCGTAAGCGATAGCGTTTTCCAAAGCATTTCCGTTAGGCGAATGGCCCCCTGGTACCTACTTATTTACTTCTTCAGCAAATTTTTTAGTAGTATTTGCTGCTAAGCTGCAGTGTGCGGGCATTTTTTACTGTCCCTTATTTTTATTTGATTTGCAAGTTTCTTGGGGTGCAAATCGTAAGAGGCCTGATTAAAACTTGGCCCGTCATAGATTCTGATAGTTCGATAAAGATTAGCACTATAAGAAAAAAGTTCGCCCATCCCTGCCCTAACCCAACGAGCCCCGAAGTTTTGGCACGTAATATTTTGTCATTCTACACCTAACCGAATGAGGCAACGAAGTTTTGACACTTAATTTTCACTCTTATATAGAATACAGGTTGTACTCCGATGACTGCGGCAGTTGTTCGTACGTCCACTCATCTCCGTTGTAAACTGCCTCTTCATATTCTTCATATACTGATTCTGGCAAAATACAATTATGTGTCACTAAATATTGTTTATACATGACGGTGTTACGTCCATATCTTTTGCTTATTATAACAACATCAAAGTAATTATTTTTTTTGCATTTTATTATATATGTAAGAACTAGACTAGTTCTGTGTGTTTAATTTTATATATGCCGTTGGATGATTTGATAAATGGATTTTTCGTGAAAATCATAGGAATTTTGCGAAAATACAGATGATTAGACAGTGGCGACGACATTGCTCAATCTTACTAGTTACGCATCTCTTTTCATTTAATCACACATACAAAATTAAAATCCTTTTTTTCCAACACTAATCGTTATATCTGTAGTTACCATCTGGGCGTCTGCTCTTGCCACTGAGCTAACAGGGATATTAAATAGTTCAATGTTTTAAACGATAAGATACTAAAGAAACGATAGGGTAAAGGATAAAAAATCCATAAAGTAACCTATTCTAACCTATGAATTCATAGATAAGTATATTTTTATAGATCTACACTCCGAGTACACGACACCTTCAAAACCGCTCAAACTTAGACCGCTGTATACTAATCGAACGGGAGACCTTGTACTGAGAATTACTACTAAGCTAAGATATTGTATTGAATTTATGAAATACAACAGTTTTTATTGTAAATTCCTACCTGGTACACCTGGTGGGGGTCGAGGCGCCTTTCCTGATGGGGCTGAAAAAAGTAATTTAATATAGGTACTTTACCTTACTACATTATACTTTGGTTTTTGAGTATTACAAAACTTGTTTACTTGAAGCAAAATTATTTAGTTAGGTTTATAAATAAAGCAGTTAAATTCTTAAAATACAAGGTACCTTGAATTTTTCTAGGGAAAAAGTAACTGAATCCATTGCGAAAGTATAGCTTAACTGCCACCAGTTAAGGTTTGATTTAAGATTTTCAATAATTATATTGTTTATTTACGTGATACTTTTATCACATCGCCACAATTTTTTGTTCATCTTTAGGACGTCGTATATAATTTTTAATTGCATAAAAAAAAAAACAGACTGTATTTACCTTGTTGAATCGGCGGCAGTTGTGGGGTCGGCCTTACAGGAACTGCAAAAAATAAAAAGTAAAACAAGAATCTGGGGGTTTCCTTAAATAGCGAAATGTAATATGTAAATTTAATTCTTTTGGAATTCTTAAATAGCTAGACTGGATATTTCATGAAATATCTTCAAATATAAACTCTAAAGTTGCTGCATTTGCGTTGCTCTTCGTAGGTAGTTCACAAGGCATATACACATTTTATCTTAGCATAAGTACTGTATGTGTGCCTGTAGTCTTTTATATACCTTTTGTAAGCGGCCCGGGAGCAAGCGGTGCTGGAGCTTGGGGTGACATTGCATGTTGATTTAGTAATTCTGGAATTATAAAAAAACGCACATTTGAAATGTTGGTAAGTAGCAAATTATTTAATACAGGATGTCGGACTGTGGTCTCCCCATACAATTATACAGTAAGTCTGAAAATATGATAATTTCTCACGCCTAGCCTCTCGCAAGTTTCACGGGTGCGAAACGGAGACGGCCTTAAGCAGTCCACGTTGCTTACGAGCAGCATACTATCAGTTAAAAACCCTGCGAATACCCTCTACGCTGTTAAGTGCGGAACCGCAAGATCCCTGTTGAGGGACTCCAAACAGAAAAAAATGCCATTTCTGTCACCGACACATTGACGTTACCTTCACAGAGGCCTAAGCACGAACTTTGACAGCTCCGTGATTGTATTGCATCGTCAAAGTTTCTATGAAAACTAAACAGCGCCCCTACCGGTCGTAAGCACAAACTGGCTCCTTCCATACAAAATTTGACGATGATGATACGATTACGGATCTAGCAAAGTTCGTACTTGTGCATCAGGCATTCTCACACAGTTTGAAGCACATTTAAATTGCGACCATGGTTGACACGTAAAAATGAATAGCTATGTTTAGGTTGATACTTACGAAGATGGCGGGAGCCGTCCTTCTGTGTATTTTTATTTTGTAGACGAACTTTATACAAAATGTCATAAGAAGTAAAGTATCTATTTATTTAGTTATTTTATTTGAAAAAGGTACACAGTCAGATTATTGTCGATACATAATAAATTTTGTAGCTTATTTCAGTAGACTAAACAATAATCCATGAATTGTGTACACAGCATTATTAATTATTATCACATATTAAGAGAGAAAAATAAATCAATGGAAATAATATAATAAGATAAAGGTAGAAAAATAATTATGTAGTGCAAGGTTGACAGAGTTCTTGATATTTGGATAGGTCAGAAATAACCTTTTTATAACGCGTATGTATTTAATGGAACTAAAAAGGTCGATGTTCGGCTAAAAGAATAGAATTGAAATATTTTTATTGCTCTCACAGTAATACATAGTTCAATACATAGTACAATGCGATATGACAGCGTGAAGAGCAAATGGATGTGGCTCAGCATAAACTGCTTCGTTACAGAATGTCTCGGGCAGCGCTAGTTTTCAGCCACACCCATTTCTCCTTAGATGAAAGCGAGAAATGCAAAAGAAATCAAATAAAAGGCAAAATTATTATTATAATGTGTTCAACTTACGTGTCTTTTGTTTTACTGTAAGAGTAGAGTCCGGCTTAGGTAGTTTCTGAGGCCCAGGAACCGATTTTAAGGCAGTCGGCGGCGGAGGCGCTGCAAGTATAAATGAAAAAAAAAAACATTTTTCATTTATTGTACAAAATAGCAAACGTGGTCCGCGTGGATTTTTTTCTAGTTATATTTTCATTAGAATTAAACATTAAGCAGTTAAATGCTTTAAAATAATAAAAATTATAACTTTTATTATATTTATTTTAACAATTTTACTGTTAGATTTATATACCTACTAGCTGACTCGGCGAACTTCGTACCGCCCAAAAGTAATAATTTGCAATAAATTAAAATTGCGACTATAATTTGAGATTTAAACTATCCTATCTCTCAAGTTGGATCGAACTGCACATGGTGTGCGAATTTTATTATAATCGGTTCAGTGGTTTAGGAGTCCATTGAGGACAAACATTGTGACACGAGATTTATATATATTAAGATATAAAGAAATTTTGCGAATCCGACTGTCTTTTAGCATGAGAAAAACTAGTAGCAATTCGACACGGCCATTATGATCGCGGTAGTATAATTGTGCAGTGTAACTGTCCCGATAGTGGAGGATGCGGTGGGTTCGAGTCCCGTCTGCTGCGCATGGAATTTTTTCCAGTAAAATTTTCCTTGCCTTGTTTTCCCTTTTTCTGGATAAGATTTTCCGGTACGGGCTTAGCAGAAGGCGGGATTTGATTGACAGGAAATGGGGCAGCGGCAGCTAGAAAAAATGAAGCATCATTTGAGGTGCAAACTTATTGATAACATCTTTGTGGTTTTAAATTTTGAAACTGGATGAAACGAAAAATGTGTGCTGGGCTGGGACCAGTGCCGTTTTTGACCTATTGGAGGCCCTGGGCATATTAGGATAATGGGCCCCTATGACTTCCGTTTGGTGATTTAACAGGAATTAGGGACTTTGTATTTGTTCTGAGGGGGCCCCCTATCGATCGCGGGGCCCTGGGCATTTGCCCAAAGTGCCCACTGGGAAAGATGGGTCTGGCTGGGACACGTAGTAGAAGTGATACTTCAACCCACAATCTCTCACCGCGCGATATATCGACTACCGACTTCACGCGGCCGTAACCATAGAGGTATAAGAATAGAGTGGGAAAGGTTCTAAAAGTGTCCGTCTAACAGAAAGAGAAAGAAGATGAGAGACCGCTAGCTATCTTTCTCCTGTGACGCATGCGCAGTCGTCTGTCCAATAGTTGGTCCAAGCATCACATCGAAATAGTAAGAAGCCTACGGTTGCCAATGCGCATGCGCGATTAGAGAGAGAAAGCTAGCGGTTTCTCATCTTCTTTCTCTTTCTGTTCTCTAATAGTCCCTCTGGACACTTCCACTTGTAGTAGAGTCTATATCTCCCCTACTCTATTCTTATACCTCTATGGCCGTAACCCTTTTTCGTGGCAACAAAGAAGTTTCACTACAAAAGCGACAGTTGAAAGAAACAAACACACAAGTAAATCTATGCGAGAGAATGAGATAATAGGGTATTTGACAAGTTTTAGGTAACGATCTCACGTTATTAACTAATGTTTATGGACTCCATAAAAAGTGGATATTCATCATTCTGTTGTGTATTTCAGTAAAAATAACCAAATCAAAAACTCCAGTTTCAAGTTGCCGCGAAAATGTTTCTCTGGACAATATGGCGTCTTGCTAGTGTGTGACGTCACACGACTGTTATTAACACGTCAAACGATACAATGTAATGTCAGTTTAACCGGAAGTTTACTTGCGTGTGACGTCATTTTAGGCTCCGCCGATCCCAAACGTTTTGGGTCACGTGACAATAGATAAGAAAACTATTATCTTTTTCGTTAGTTTTTAGTAAAATTATGTTTTTTTTTCTGTAAAAATAGTAAAATCCCCTGCCAATATTCATTCTAAACACAGATGCTAACAATTGACACTTTATTTTTAACACTGTCAAATACCCTATATTTATGATACTAGTGTGGTAAGTTGGTTATTACAAACTAGTAGACTAATGTAAGCAGGAGACGAAATCAAGGGTTTACCATAGTCACGAACGAGTTTTTCAACAAATTTGCAAGAAAACAGTATAATTTTTAAGTAATGAAGCAACCTTTTTCTAAGGCGAAAATGGCGCGCATTTGAACTTGAAAATTAGAACTACATCTTTCGGCTCTTTTTTTCTTTTTTTAGTATTAAAGCGAGCCAAACGTATGGATCGAAAGTGCATCCAAGGAGGTTCGATCTAAATAAAAAAAAAACCGTAAAGCATACGCACGGTGCTATATACGGAAGGGTGCGGTAAAATTTTACCGCACGCTTTGTTGTATGGTGCGTAATTTGAACTTTCTATGTAAACAACATTTTAAATCCGTAAATGCATTTTTTTAGCAAATGTGTTGAAGAAGTAAATTTTGTGTGGACCGCGCCGCTTACGTTAGATGTCGCGTACTAGAAGAAATGCCGCGACTTAAAGCAATACTTTTTTTTAAGGTTTTACTTTTATTAAGATTTTTATTATTTTATCTGTCACAAAATTAAAAAAAAAACTTACTCTTTTGTTTTTTCTTGAAGATGGTGTCTAACTCCGAAGCAACAATTGACGATCCTGTAAAATGGAAACTAATAGGGTAATTATCTTATAAAAAGTGCTTTTATTATCTCATAATGTCAATAATTTATTAATACATAAAATGTATTTTAACTGATGCGCGACGATTTATATCTAGTGGACCTAATATTTAATTTTCAAGTCGAAATAACTCAATAGTTTTGTCAAAGGATAATCAAATCACCTTGTGCCATCTTGTTTATTTTTCCTGGAGGCGTCGGGACCAGTTTTTTAGCCACCGTAGCTTTTGGATGAGGAGGTGGAGCCCTGGATGCTTTCAACGTCGCTTCTGCAATCCACGTATATTTAATTAAAATAAAAAAAAGCAGCAGCTATGTCTTTAAAACATGTTTTAATTGGCCCTTCGAGCCGGATAAAAATTTACAGGACTATACAAAAAATAAACTTATATGAGAAATTCTCAACATAATATGATATCTCAATATAATAAACTTATATGAGAATACTCAACATTTTTAAATCAATTTATCATTGATTTAAAAATGTTATAGGCAATTTTTCTCACTACTCACTCGCACCCACGGCGGTTAGAGAGAAGGAGAACGATCGCTACTTACTAAAGCTTTAGCCCGCCTGTCCCTGAAAATTTGTAGAATTTATAGTTCATTTTTCAGCCACCAGTCGCGCTGCCGTCGGTAAGTAGTATCTGTGAAGTCAGCTGTTTATGAGTACAAGTATATGAAGTTAGTTGAATAATGTACAAATTTTCTTCGCGGCATTGGTTATTTTAAATTAGCGAACAACAGCCCGATTTTATTGAGACAACTTAGCGATCGCAGCGCCTCACTTATTTTGTCCATATTTCTGGGACACTATTTTCTACAGCGATCGTTCCCATTCTCTCTAACCTCCATGCTCGCACCTGTGAGAATGTGACCAGTGGCAGTGCTATTTCTTTTTTTTGATATCGCAAGCGTCTATAGGCTATGGTGCCGCTCACCATTAGGCTGGCCATATACCTGTTTTTGTCACCTTTTTAATATAAAAAAAACCGGTTGTCTGTAAAGTCGGTTTACTGACGATAGTTGAACGTGACAACGTTTTTTTACAATGTACATAGTTTTTACAAGTATGAATGTGCACTTTTCACTGCACATACTTGACGAAAACATGTAAATGTATTATTGTATAGCCGCTGTCCACGCGGACGCATCGCTCACTCAAGTAGGAGAGGGACAGATGTCGAACGCTGCCGAACGCGGAGGTCGATTGTGCCTCTTTGCCGCTCGTTGTGCGCTCTCGCTTGCACTTCAAGCCTTAAATGGAACGCCTTAGAGCGAGGTAACGTCGCAAGAGTCATGTTTTTTCGTGCGTGCAGCCGGCTCCATCGAATTATAAGACGCCACGTCAAAACTTCTCAGTGTTCTGTCCCAGCTGTATCTGCAGTCGTTAGCACCCACCAATCCGCACTGGGCCCGCGTAATGTGTCATGGCCCATTTTCTCTGTTGCATTCATATGGAAGACCTGTGTTACAACAGTGGGGATATTAATAGACTGATATGGGGATGATTTTTTTACCTTGAGCCAGTAGATTAGGTTTATTGATGTAAGGCTCTGGACGTATTGTCTCTTCCATTAAATGAGGGCTTTCTGCAAGCAAAAAAAAAATGGAATATAGCAAAAGGTTGTGACATAAACCATTTAAAATAAATAAAACTAGTTTTAACGGGTTAATGCATGAAACTTTATTTATTTATTGGCGTTTCGCAGCCTTTTCAGGCCTGCATCGTCAGAATACAGAGCTACCTTCGAAAGACTTTGGACAAAACGTCAATAAATAAATAAAGTTTCGTGCATTAACCCGTCAAAACTAGTTTTATTTAATGAGTGATGTGCGTGAAAACCTAAGAAACATTTAAAATAAATTTAATATTTCGTATTATTCTGCAGCTCCCAGAAAGATGAGTCTGCTCTACGCTTCGTCATTATAAAAATGTTATCTAGTTAGTTATATTTAATATAAAAAACACTTTGTATTTATAGTGTATGACACAGGCATCAAAATGCAGCTGAATAATTATCGTATAAGTAATGAAAGGTGACATGAATCATTTCACATTGAAGTCCTTTTTCAACTTGACGAGCTGCATATAAATAATAGATACAGGGAGAAAAACAGCCCTTGACGACTTTCTTACCGGTTCTTCTCAGTTTAAGGTCTCCTGCCATAGATTTACCACGGTTAGCTTCTAGGCATTCATGAGTGCTTGTAAAAACCTAAATTGAATAAACAATTTTTGACTAGAATTTGATTCTTAATAGTCTAGCCTCAAAACAAGCACGTTAAGATCGTGTTATAGTATATAAGAGTAACGGATAGAAATAAATCCGTTACTATAGTACCTATATATTCATACTGGGGAAAGGGCTGTGCCCCAGCGGTGGCGATATGATTTTTTTTTGTTAAACACTTAGAAACGTGTTTTACCTTTTTTAACTGCGCACTGCTGACGAACCATCTCCCGTAGAGCAATAGTAGATTCTGAAAAAATATAAGAAGAAGAAACATGTAATTTAGAGTAGGATGGACGATATATAATATGAATGAATAATAAATATTTCCAATACTCACACCAATTATCCTAGCCCAAAAGTAAGCACTATAAGGCTTGTGTTATGGGATACTAGGGTAACGGATAGAATACATATACTGTACATATATAAGTATATTTATATAGAATTACATATTAAACATCCATGACTGGAGTACAAATGCTCGTATTCATCACACTAACATCTGCCCCCACCGGGATTCGAACCCGGGACCTCTCGAGTCGGCGACACCATGAAACCCGGCGTACAAAACACTCGGCCACGGAGGTCGTCAAAATATGGTCTCCTAGACCTATCTACCTACAAGATACCAACCAAGAAAGTTCAACGATCGCAACCGTACGCGCTAACCACTTGCGCTATCGAGCTTGTTGTGTTCACTACCAGCCCAAGCCGAGGGGACAGTGGAAGGAATGATTGTATTGTCCCAACAAATACTCCAGCTGGGGCTTAGAACACAATAGCTCCTGCGATGTCGCAGGGTTTTCTTAACTAACTAAATAGTTTACCAAGTTGTATGTAAGTAAAGTCGTCTGTGGCTTTGGTATCTGCCTTAGAAATGGATAGGAAGGGATGGGAAGGCAGAACGATTCCTCTTTGCTCTTCTCATCCAACAACCACGCTTATAGCGATCCAAAATAGGTTAGCACTCACAGCCAATTTCACATAAACATGTACATTACACAAACAAAACACCAGGAGTCTTTTAATTTAAGTTATTTTCACAATATATCAATGGAATATCACCTATAAGGCGCTTTGCAGACGGCGGGGCGGAACGGGCCGGTCAATTTCGCTGCGAACGATAGCACAAAGTGAATCCTATACTACAAACGCACACAGAGGGCAAAAAGACCGCGCCTTGGGTGCCCGGCGGGCACTGGCGGCGCGGCATGTCCGCGGCTGCCCGCCGTGGATCATACAAACCAGTTTATATGCAGTAACGCAGACGGCGGCGCGGGGCGGCTAGCTCAGACGCGCTTTTTAGTGATGGACTATTCACTAGAACGAACGTCCTGAACTGACTGCCTTTGCCCGTCGTGTGCTTTGTGTACGCGGCGAGGGCAGCCGCAGACATCGACGGGCAGACGCGGTTTTTATTGCTTCGCGGACAAAAAGCCCTCCCCGCCCCGTCGTCTGCAAAGCGCCTAACGGTACAAACGAATCAAACAAAATATAATCGGCGATAAAATCAAACATAAAACCTCGCGAGTTCTCAAGTTTCTAGGCGCCATGACAGCGCCAAAAAACGCTCCACTACCCGCGCACGAAAATAATTAAAATTATGAGACACCGCACGGCAGGGAAGTTAGGGATGTGCCGTTTTATTCGTAACAGAGCTCCTCGTGAGCAGAGCCACAAATGACAGTTCAGTAAATAGTTATTTGAAACAACTACATTTCCCCCTGGCAATAATAAATTATGACAATAGCTCCGGATACCGTTGCCAGGCGTCCAGATGAAGCCGGACAAAATAAACGGTGTCCGGCTTGTCCGGATTTTGTTAGGCTATTTACATTTTACAAACGAGCGATGTGCGCAAGCGATTAATGTCGTACCTAGTATAAGCCACCAAATCCTAAATAATGTAGGGTGTCCGGCCTTTTTACTCAAATGTCCAGCCAAACTGGCTGTTTTGTCCGGCTATTAAGGTTTGGTGACTTGGCAACTCTAGTCCCGGATGACTTTTGTTTCATTATTTAAATTGAAGTTACGTACCATCATCTGATAAATCCTGCTGTGGCTGTGGCTCTGGCAATGGTGCTGGAGGCCTTTTCTTCATATTAATTTCGGCTTTCTTTCTTTCTATGGAAATAAAATGCAACTGTAGTTAAAAATATTGCCAGCATTTCTTCATTATCATCAGTCTATTAATGCTGCTGGGGCACAGGCCTTCCCTATGTATAGGATAGGGAGATTGGGCCATGATTCACCACTCGGACCGGACAGTACGACTTAGTGGGTGCTAAGCTAACGACTGCAGATGCAGCCGGGACCAACGGCTGAACGTGCCTTCCGAAATACCCTCCGTATTTGAGAGTGAGAGATAGTAAATTTTTGGTCACCCACCCAATGACCGACCACTGCGAAAGTTGCTTAACTTCAACGATCGCAGCCGACCGCGCTAAGCACTTGCGGTATCCAGCTCCATTCACATTTCTTGTTATAATTAATTAAACCTTTGAAACATAGCGAACGAAAACGGCTAAGCCATATTAAACACACACATAAAATATTTTAACCAACACTCATCATTTACAGAAACTGTATGTTTTATTAATTACAGAATACGAAAATATAAACTATATTTTCGTATTCTGTAATTAATTGATTGATTTAAAAATTTGAAAATTTTCAATTGTGTTTATAATCTATACTTATAATAAATCTGTAGAGAGGTCAATTCTGTACATGAAATATATTTTCAAAATAACTATCACGGGGTGATTGGTGATCGATACTGATGCCAAAAATGCAATCAGTAAAATTTTTGTCTGTCTGTCTGTCTGTCTGTGTGTATGTTCCTTATAGAAACAAAAACTACTCGACGGATTTTAACGAAACTTGGTACAATTATTCTTCATACTCCTGGGCAGGTTATAGTATACTTTTCATCACGCTACAGTCAATAGGAGCAGAGTAGTGAAGGGAAATGTTGGGAAAACGGGAGAAGTTACTCCATTTTTTTAGCTTCCGTTGCGTGTGCAGCCTTAATGGTTAAAGTTACATAGAAATCATGTATCACGGAAGTATTCTATATAGAATTGTCTAAAAAATATCCCGGAACAGCATATGTCTATCTTTTATGGTTGACTCACAATAACACGTGTAACTCCTGATAGCTTAGCAGTTCGGAGTATTCTGATTATATTTGTTTACTCTTACGTTTATAATACTCTCACTCATCCCTAATTTAAAAAGTTAACATTATTACCTATTCAATAAAAAAATAATCATAGAAATCGGTACAGAAACACCAAACTTATACATGAAATAAGCCATCGCGCCGTCGCACGTGAATACTGAATCATGCTATAAGGATTATTTTTGTGTAACGGTTGCCGCGCTCGACACGGGTCGCGGCGGCGGTAGGTATAAGAAGAATGTCATTGTGTATATTACAGGCCTGAGAACAATAACTATAGTCTACACTTCAGCTCTACACCGAAGCGAAGCGAGGGCGGGCCACTAGTATTGAAGTATAATTATTCAATATTAAAAACCGTTCAAAACCGTACAATATACTTTAACTTTTTTGGATGAGTATATTTTGTTATATAGGGTGAAATTGAATGTTTCTATGAAACTTCGTGAGATTGTTGGGTTATGTGTATAGAGTATGCCTGTCTTTTTTTGGATTTTTTTGAAGTATATTTTTTTCATGTATTTATTTATAATTTGTGTATTTTTATGTCCTTTCCTCGTTTTGAGTAGTTATTCATTTTAAACAAACAAACTTACATATCCAGTGAAAAACAACTAATAAATAAGCACTTCTAAAAAACGGAAAAACATTGAAATTCCACCGCGGGTCAACGACCGACCGCGCCCGCCAGCCGTTGAGTAAGTAGCTACCTAACTCTAACCAGAGCTCAACTGACTCGTTTGATTCCACACAATAGGTACAATAAAATCGTCTTAGATGCCTTTATTGAAATTGAAATAATAAGCACAAATGTCATCTTTTCTTAAGCAGAGAAAAACTTTAAAAGTTAATAATAATTTTGTCACGATTGGAAATAGGCAAATGTTAAACAAAAAGAAATACTTATTGCTTAATACCCCAAGAATGAAATTTATAACCAGGTATTCAAAAGTACTTACGAGACTGGCGATTTAGGTAGGTACAACGAGGAACGAGGAACATATTTATTTTTTTCACTAGAACTTTTTATCAAATCAATCACACTGGTAGTACACAATTAGTTGTTTCTAATCAAAAAGTATTTACCCTAGCAATAAAAAGAGACTTAAATTATTATCTGCAAAATTGTTGCTCTAAACCACCATTTTGCTGCAAACAAAGGTTGCCTGTTTGCGGACGTGTCTTTTCACCTTTTTTAAAGTGTCCCTATCACTACTCACTGCACAAAATGCAACTTCTATGGTTTAGGGACTCATTCGTAAACCAAACCTACTTCGTCACACTCGCGATAGCAGTACACCATCTCTAAATATTCTTGGTTTGTATACCGAGGCATAATGAAATTATCACAGTGTATGTCACCAAGTCAAAAGATGCGCACGCTCACGCGCGATTAATATACTTGCGACTGCGTTTTGCATGCAATCAAAGCAAACGTCCGCGTGCGGGGAAGAGGGGAGGTGGGCGGAATTCACATCATCAAAGACGCCGCAACCGGCGCTAGTTGCCAGCGTGCGGCGCGCCGCCCGCCCGTGCTTGCCGCAAAACAACATATTATTATGTGTGTGTGTGTGTATGTGTGACTGTGGCTGTGATTAAATGTGTTCGGAATTTCATGACGTGGGCAAATCAGACACGAAGAGTTCCTTCCTTCCCTAAGCTCGTAAGTTATACCGATTTGCTCTTAATTTTAAGAAGATTTATATTATTGATTAATTACCTGTGCTTTATGAAATAATATTCAAAGGTATTGTGTATCAGTGAATAAATAATTATAATATAGCATCTAAGACTATTTTATTGTATTGTTTTTAAATAGTGTGGATCAAAGCGAGTAGGTAAGCGCCGAGTCATCTGTGCGTGTAGTTAGGTACCTACAGGCGGCCGCCGGTCGTCGCCCCGACCGGCGCTGATCTCGACTGTAGGCATAATGAAGGCATTCATTAAGTTTCCGTTTTTTTATTAGTGCTTATTTTAAGTTGCTTTATAACTTCTATGTAGACGTGTTTAAAATGAATAATTACTCATAAGGAAGAAATGACAAAAAAATAACCAAATAAAAAATTAAAAAACGAAAAAAATTATTTTAAAAAATCCGAAAAAAATCAGGCATACTCTATACATGTAACCCATCAATCTCACGAAGTTTCATAGAAACATTCAATTTCACCCTGTATATAAGTATTTTTTGGAACGAAAGTTCCTTACGGCGCAGGCTTGGAGGGGACAGGGATTTTGCTGCGCGACCGAACTGAAAAAAATGTGATAGTAAAACCGTAAGAAAAAATGCGTGGAATAAAACCGTTAAATGAGACGTGCGCAGGCGCGACGAAGTTCCTTACGGCAGGCTTGGAGGGGATAGGGATTTTGCTGCGCGACCGAACTGAAAAAAATGTGATAGTAAAATCGTACGAAAAAATGCGTGGCATAAAACCATTAAATGAGACGTGCGCATAGTGGGTGGTAGAGCGACGAGGGTGCATCACTGAAATATTGTGATATTACACCAACACTGAATATGTGTGAAGTTATAGGGGGTGGTAGAGCGACGAGGGTGCATCACTGAAATATTGTGATATTACACCAACACTGAATATGTGTGAAGTTATAGGGGGTGGTAGAGCGACGAGGGTGCATCACTGAAATATTGTGATATTACACCAACACTGAATATGTGTGAAGTTATAGGGGGTGGTAGAGCGACGAGGGTGCATCACTGAAATATTGTGATATTACACCAACACTGAATATGTGTGAAGTTATAGGGGGTGGTAGAGCGACGAGGGTGCATTACTGAAATATTGTGATATTACACCAACACTGAATATGTGTGAAGTTATAGGGGGTGGTAGAGCGATAAGGGTGCATCACTGAAATATTGTGATATTACACCAACACTGAATATGTGTGAAGTTATAGGGGGTGGTAGAGCGACGAGGGTGCATCACTGAAATATTGTGACACTACACCAACACTGAATATGTGTGAAGTTATAGGGAGTGGTAGAGCGACGAGGGTGCATCACTGAAATATTGTGATATTACACCAACACTGAATATGTGTGAAGTTATAGGGGGTGGTAGAGCGACGAGGGTGCATCACTGAAATATTGTGATACTACACCAACAGTGAATATGTGTGAAGTTATAGGGTGTGGTAGAGCGACGAGGGTGCATCACTGAAATATTGTGATATTACACCAACAGTGAATATGTGTGATGTTATAGGGGGTGGTAGAGCGACGAGGGTGCATCACTGAAATATTGTGATATTACACCAACACTGGATATTTGTGAAGTTATATCAAGCTGTGGACCAGTGACGCCTGTGAGACATGATTATGATTACAAGGTGAGTACTTATCAGGAGGTGGCAGAGCGACGGGGGTGCATCACTGGATTATTGTGACATTTGTAGTTTATTCTAAACTGTGGGCCAGTTCTGCCTAGCATCCTTTACGAACGCTAGCGGGATATGATAATAAGGTGCGTATGTAGGGGGTGGCACAGCTACGAGGGTGCAGCACTGGAATATTGTGACATTACACGAAATCTGGATATTTGTGACGTTATACCGAGCTGAAGACCAGGAACGCCTATCATCTGCTGTAAACTTAAGCTAGACATAATAACAAGGTCAGTACTTAACAGGGGGTGACAGAGCGACGGGGGTGCAATCCCAAATTATTGTGGCCTTATACCAACACTGGATTATTGTCGTATATTATACTAAACTGTGCTTAAGTCCAGAGGGTGGCAGAGCGACGGGGCTGCATTACTGGATTATTGTGACATTGTAGTTTATTATAATGTGTGGGCCAGTCCTGCCTAGCAATCTTTACGAACACTAGCTGACCGAACTGAAAAAAATGTGAAAATGTGATAGTAAAACCGTAAGAAAAAATCCGTGGAAAAAAGTGCGTGGAATAAAACCGTTAAATGAGACGTGCGCAGGCGACAGTCGCATACACAAGCGAGTTTGCAATTTGTGTCGATTCTACATTAGCCGAAGGAACTTCGTTCCTACCTGGTGTCCCACGACACCACATCATTTTATTTAAATATTTAACTGATAGATGTCTCAATGTAAAGGAAATTTTACTAAAACAAAAATCCATGCTCGAAAATACCTATAAAACATTCACGACTGGAGTAAAAATGTTCGTATTCATCACACAAGATCTGCACCCACAGGGGTTCGAATCCGGAACCTCTCGAGTCGGCGACACCATGAAACCCGGCTCTAACCGAGATCTGATAACTTTTTGACAGTACGAGTGATATTATGGTCTCGTATTCGAAACATTTTACATAATTATACTTACTTAAAGTTGGTATGTTTTCTATGGGTGGAGTCGGAGGAGAGATTGTTGAATCTGAAAATTTGACATTTAAATTTGATTGTTGAATCTGAAAATTTGACTTAATAATAAGTAAGTGCTTAATATGTCTACATAACATAATATTATAAGAAATATCATTAATACCACTGTGTTCTGTGATTAATACCATTCTAATAAGTAAAATCGTCTGTAGGATAATTTACTTTTCAACGAGCAACGAGGAATAACGAAATTTATATGGAATTCTTGTTCTGATTTTAAATTACACACACACACACACACCCACGCACACGCAAACACACACACACGCAAGCAGGCACGCACACACACGTTTCAAAATAGCACTGCAGGTGTGAATTTTTTTAAAGGTACAAAAAAAACATCCAGTGCGTTCGAAATATTAATTCAATTTTTGCCAACGACAATAAAGCGTTGGGTTTTGCTCTTAAAAAAAATAATGAATGTACTTATACTTTACTTAAATTGCATTAAAGCTCTTTTGAATCGATCAATATTCTTTTTAACACTTACTGTTCTGCAATTCTTCTAAGGTCTCGTAAATTCTGCTTTCCTCTCTATAATTCTTCGAAAAGAATTGGGTTATTCTGTTTTTACGATTGGGCGTTGTGCTGTATCGTTCTGTGCAAAAAGGACAATTTAAACTTAATGATTAAGCTTTAACCGTTTAAAGAAATTTGACACTTGCGTGTCGTCGCATCTGGCGCCGCAGTCCTACCACCTCAATGCCCAGTCACTGGGTGCCCGCGCCCTCCACACCGGAATAAACGCTTGTGAATACGTGTTTTTTTCTCAAATTATATATAATTTGTGGAGGGTGCGAGCGCAGTGTCATAGAGGCGGTAGGACTGCGGCCTCAGGGGCGGCGACACGCGAGTGATGCCACGCGTGTTACAAGCGTCTATCCCGGTGTGGAGGGCGTGAGGTCCAGTGCAGTGACTGGGCATAGAGGCGATAGGACTGCGGCCTCAGGGGCGGCGACACGCGAGTGATGCCACGCGTGTTACAAGCGTCTATATCATTGTGGAGGGCGCGAGGTCCAGTGCAGTGACTGGGCATAGAGGCGATAGGACTGCGGCCTCAGGGGCGGCGACACGCGAGTGATGCCACGCGTGTTACAAGCGTCTATCCCGGTGTGGAGGGCGTGAGGTCCAGTGCAGTGACTGGGCATAGAGGCGGTAGGACTGCGGCCTCAGGGGCGGCGACACGCGAGTGATGCCACGCGTGTTACAAGCGTCTATATCATTGTGGAGGGCGCGAGGTCCAGTGCAGTGACTGGGCATAGAGGCGGTAGGACTGCGGCCTCAGGGGCGGCGACACGCGAGTGATGCCACGCGTGTTACAAGCGTCTATATCATTGTGGAGGGCGCGAGGTCCAGTGCAGTGACTGGGCATAGAGGCGGTAGGACTGCGGCCTCAGGGGCGGCGACACGCGAGTGATGCCACGCGTGTTACAAGCGTCTATATCATTGTGGAGGGCGCAAGGTCCAGTGCAGTGACTGGGCATAGAGGCGGTAGGACTGCGGCCTCAGGGGCGGCGACACGCGAGTGATGCCACGCGTGTTACAAGCGTCTATATCATTGTGGAGGGCGCGAGGTCCAGTGCAGTGACTGGACATAGAGGCGGTAGGACTGCGGCCTCAGGGGCGGCGACACGCGAGTGATGCCACGAGTGTTACAAGCGTCTATATCGTTGTGGAAGGCGCGAGGTCCAGTGCAGTGACTGGGCATAGAGGCGGTAGGACTGCGGCCTCAGGGGCGGCGACACGCGAGTGATGCCACGAGTGTTACAAGCGTCTATATCGTTGTGGAAGGCGCGAGGTCCAGTGCAGTGACTGGGCATAGAGGCGGTAGGACTGTGGCCTCAGGGGCGGCGACTAGTGAATGTGGGTAAATATTAAGAAATTTACTTACTGTTATCGTTATTTTCAGGATTCCGTACTCTGAGTGATAATGACTCCAACCTCGTAATTCTTTGAGCTGTAATAAAAACAGTTGAGACTTTTCAACATTTTGTTTAATTGCTTCCGATGTCAGTAGAGTCTTGTCGAATATATTTTAAGTTTTACACCTCTTTTTGTGGTTTTGTACATACTATTCAGTATCTGTTGGTTCCGAAATTGTTTGAAGAAAAGGGCATTGCAGATTTCTTGCATGAATTAGACGCCCGACTGTTAAGGGAAGAACCTTCACCTTTTGGCACAGTAACATAACATTACCTTGCGGCGGTGGGGTGTTTCCAGAGCTCCACGGGGTAAAAGATTAGGTTCAGGTAACAAGGTAAGGACGGATTTTTTTGACCTCATGAACCGATTTAAAAGAAATCGGACCTGGCAACACTAGCCATAACCCACACCACATGGGAGGGCCCAGTGAGTATTGGTGAGTGCTACTGACTGCCGATGCAACCAGGACCAATGGTTTAACGTGCCTTCCGAAGCACGAAGGAGCTCAAGATAGTTAATTTTTTGTCACCCATCCAATGACCGACCACTACGAAAGTTGCTTAACTTCAACGTTCGCAGCCGAACGCGCTAACCACTTGGATCATCGGATCTCCAGTCCTTCTGATTTATTGCTTATACTAACTTTTTGGATACCTTATTAGCACCAGTACTTTATGTTTTCTAGTAAAACTTTTTTTGTTTCTTTAAGCACAAATATGTGTATAATTTACCTCTTAGTTTGAAGTAGATAATTACTCCCATTTGCACAATAATGACAGTGAATAAACATATACCGCCGATCCCTATGTAAATCAATAAATCTGGAAATATATAAATAAAAAAAGGATAGGATTAAAAACTTTTAAAATAAATTAATATCCTACGAAAAAATGCAATAACATAAATTAAAATAGTTAATTACTGAAATGTTGGAGCTCCAGATTACAGAACAAAAGGTATGGTAAGGAGCGCATGGTATATGTAATGCGTGCCACCAAAGCAAATACGAAGTCAAATGTTTCTATATGATTTTTTTACCTTTGTGAACAGTTTTTACGATGTATGAACAGGGCGGCGGCACAGTTTTGATAAACACTTAATATTCACGGGAACGTATTCACAACACGATGCGCTGTGGCACAGCGGTGACACTCTGTACGTGAGAGTTCCAGCGTCAGTGACCTTGAGCAGGAGCGTGTATGCGCTAGGGTTGAACTTGGAATTTAGACTTGTGCCAATGAATATTTATGCATAGTAAGTTATTAAATGTAAAGTGATTCAAGGATACTGGGGTAAATAATGAAGGATAGGTTTGATTTTATAATCAATTTTTAATCATTTAATGTAATTTATTCATTTATAACAAATTGCTAACTTTTATATATTTTCTCCTTTTTCGATTCGTTTTATAATTCTTATTATTATCCAAATAATAATTGCGTAGCGTAGTCAGTCTGTGCGTGCAATGCAGTGCAACGCTATTATTTTACTATTTCGCTACTGCCATGCCTTCGGTCGAGGCAGTCGGCGACTGCCCTCTCCACGCCCCGCACGCCGCGCAACGCCCCCGCGCACCTCCAGACACTCACACATAGCCGCGGGCGATTTTACGAGCACACATGCTTAAGTGTCGCTTCTTTTCGCGTAGTTTATATATTCTGTGGCTGTGGTGTATCGATGCGACGGGAAGTGATAGTCGCTTTTACTTCGTATTTGCTATTGTGCCACGCATTGTGTGTACCGTGCGCTATCTGGCTTTTGTTTTGAAAGAAAAATCATTTATTCAAATGATTTTTGTTTTTGATGTGTAACATCTTTCCTCTCGCTTTCCTGCAATTTGTGGGAGTGATTTCGTGAAATGGGACGGAAGTGTGTAACAGGAAGTCGTGAAAGCGCGCGCTATTTGATTTGATTTTAGAATATAATGTTCAAATGGCTTATTCCTTTTGTAGTAGGTTTTATTTCTTTTTTTACTAACATAAGATGAGATTTCAAATGTTACACATCTTACGCAACTGCTGTAAGGCTCGCTTGTTTTTGAAGTGAAAACTTCTTTAGTAGCGGTGTTCACTTTTTTTGTAATGGGTAAAAAATGTTAAACTCGCGGCAGGGCACGTGGCCTGATTGAAAATTCGTAAGACGAAAACAATAAAATCGGAAAGGTTTCATTATATTGGACGAAACATCTAGGACGGCCAGGTGGCAGCTTTATTGCGAAGAAAATGCATTTTTTTACACTAGATGTCGCTAGGTGCGCTTAAATGTGAAACATGTATTTTACAATAAATGTCGCTAGGTGCGCTTAAATGTGATTCATGTTAGTTGATTTTTCTGAGAGATAAACTTTTTAATGTAATATAAATTGTCATGTTTGTGTACGATAGCGCAATAAATAAATATTATATTCTGCCACATAAATAATAGTACTTTTATACTGATAATTAAAGCAATTCGTTCAAAATTATTCCGTAACCATTCCAAAATATAAAAAATGCACATCGTTAATATCCAAGTTTTCACTTCTGCCGGCACTCCCGGAGTGCAAAGCGTGTTTGTTTCTTCATAATTTGAGTATAGAGTTGAGAGTTAGAGTTTGCGAGTCCGAAGTGCCATTGTCAAATGTGTACTGATTTTTAGTTCTCGTTACGTACTTTGTGGCGCTGCTGTTCAAGTTTCCATATAAAATTTGACATAGACATTTCTGTTTGCAACTATTCGAATTCGATATTGGTTCGTGCTAAGGTTACCGATCTCAAAGCTCCAAACTCAAATTACAAAAAAAAAAAATAAAAAAAAAAATAACTTGGATCATACTTACTTGGGTCGAGATTAGCGGTGGTATTTTTCCCTGGTACTGTGATAATAAAATAATATAATTATGTTATGCTAGGAATTCAATACTAGATAATTATATATAAAGAGAAAGCAAACGTGAGTGTCGTGGAGCACTAGTTACGAACAAAGTTAAGAATAAACATAAGTTTATGTACACAGTATACAGATGCGCTACGCTACGAACTTTGATTATACACATTATTATTTGATTCAGCATTTATCTGCTCAGCATAAGGAGCAAGGAGCAAGGAACTCGATGGCGCAGGTGGTTAGCGCGTTCGGCTGCGATCGTCCAAGTTAAGCAACTTTCGTAGTGATCGGTCATTGGATGGGCGACCAAAAATCTTCTATCTCGAGTTCCTCCGTGCTTCGGAAGGCACGTTAAGCCGTTGGTCCTGGCTGCATCTGCAGTCGTTAGCACCCGCCAATCGGCACTGGGCCCACGTGGTGGGTCATGGCCCAATCTCTCTATTCCATCCATAGGGAAGGCCTGTGCTCCAGCAGTGGGGACATTAATAGGCTGGTGATGATTTATCTGCAAGATTTTGAAATCTAATGAAAATTTTACTAGATAAAAATAATTCCACACGGCCAGGCAGTAGACGGGACTCGAACCCTCCGCTATCCAGGTTAATTCACTGACCGCGGCCTTCATTGCCTTGTCGAATTTCTTCTTATATTTCTTATGCCGCAAGGCAGCGCCATCTCTTCGCATTTTAGGTAAGCCACAATGTCAAAAGAATTCCCTTAACAAAAGAGTCTTTACATTTAAATTAAAAATCTAGCAGTTAAATGCTTAAAAAATAAAAATATAAGTACAATTACTATACCTTCTTTCTTTTTTTCCTAAATGGCTTCGCACGGCTTGTGCATTTAGCCAATGTCAAGTGTTACAATGTTTACAAATTCTATAGCACACGTGGTCAAAGTAATAAATCATATCAAAGTAAGTGGCAGTCAAGTCAATCCCCCTTTCCCTATGTTTCAGTAAATGTGTGGGGGATTTACTGGAACTTCCCCGTGGACTTCTTGAGGAAACGTCGAAAAACACTTTCCGCTATTTTGTTTCACTTGCCAACACTTGTGCATGTTCCCGAACACTTAGTGGTTAATAATCCACCATTATTAGACACTAACATTCGCCACAACACAATTTTTAACAAGAAAAACAAAACTGCTAAAGTGACGCTTTCCGATCCCGCCAAAAAGTCCCTTCTAATGTTTAATACTTGTAAAGGTATTCGTTTGACATAATGGGTTATCTACAATACGACGAGATGGCGCTGCCTTGCGGCATAAAAAATAATAGAAGAAAAGAAATGGTTCAAATTTGTATGGAGGGTGGTAGTGAGACTCCGGCACACGCCAAATTTTTACTTCCAGCTTGTATATAAAAAAAATTAGCAAAGCGAACCCAATAAAATATGGCGGTACACAGTTCATCGGGTCAGCTAGTAAGAAATAAATAAGTATCACATAATAACTTTTAATTATACCTTCATTAATAGTGACATGAAGACGGCACACGGTTTCAGTATAAGAATGACCGTCTCTAGTAACTTGATTCTTCATGTCTGGAGTATCCTTCAGGGTGTAAAATATACAAATCCAGTCTCCATTCATATCAGTACTGTCTATTAAAATATCTGGCTGAAATAATGTTAAAAACGAGTCAATGTTGTCATACCCGCTTTCCACTGCGAGGGGAACATTACGGACACCGTAGAACTCACAAGTGAATTTTATAGAAGCACTTTCACTGTATAAGAGTGAGCAGTTCGGATTAACAGAGTAAAAGCTCGTTCTACTTGCAAAACAAAGCTTCATAGATGTGCTTCCACTGCAAACGAGTCAGCGATGCGGATTGAGCGAGTCAAAAGGAGTCCGCTGTGTTATAACCTCGAAAACTAGTTTTCAAAGGACTCTGCTCCTTCCAAACTTCCAACCATCACTACTAATTACTACTTACTATGTCTGTATAGAACAACGATATTAAATACCCTAGGTACACCATGTGCGCTCGAAATGTGTCTCAAGCAAGAAGTGCTTGAACGCCACTCAAGCACTTCTTGGTTCACAGTCACGTGCGCACCGTTGAAAAGTCAAGTTGCCGCGAAGCTCCGTGAAAAAATGCGAAAAAACATTTTTATAGTATGTGAAGTGTCCTTTTTTCGACAGGTATCTAATAAGTGTTAGTTAATTTAACGCACTTGAAGCAAATTTTGTTGTAATACTTACTATAAACTGATTTAATAGAAATATCTGTGATATTCAAATGCATGGTCGGCTAAACAGCCATCTCTTTTCCTCGCGCTCCGTACCTGCTGTATTGCTAACAGGGCATTCAAAATTGCGCGTAGAGTCAAAGAAATAAAGTCTATATTGATCCGCATACAGCAATAAGTCGTAAAATTTTACAAACTTGCATTTCGAACTGTCACAACTCTTTGACGCATGCGTTTTAATCAAGACCTTATACAGTAGGCATTAAAGGTGGCTTTCCATGTTTAAATAATGCCTTATATTGTTTTTGACAACGCGATCATCTTACGGAGCTCCGTGGATCGTCCAATGTACCTTTTGGACAGGTTTCGTGCACGATTTTGTTCGTGTTGGTGTATCTAGGGTATTTAATATCGTTGGTATAGAAGCAAAATTTTGCTCATTGTAAGAAGTCACCTGTACTTTCTACTGAAGATGATTCGAATTAGCTATACCTGATGGTGAGCGGCCACCATAGCCTATATTATAGGCACCTGCGATACCAGTGTGTCTTTCCGAGTTAAGGTTACAGTTCACCAGATTCGCGGCACTGCCTCGTCATGCGATGTCCATGCCATGCGTTGAGTCGACGAGCGAACTAATAAAGGTGGACGCCACGTTGTCAACCAGCTAACGTCGGGTTGGCCACGGATGCCCGCCTCGTTGCCAATGAGGGAATGTCAAGTGGTCGACGGGTGAAGTGAACGCCCCGCCGCTGAGTAGTTGACTCCGCATTGCCAGCGAAAATTAAGTAGTGTGTTCACAGTGTATTACAGATTGTCACTAGGTTTACACGTGTGTTTTCACAATGTTTAATTTAACAGACTGTCAAAAGCTGTCGCGCTTTATGAAGAAGAAAATGAAATGCGTAGCGTATATATCCATAGAAAGAATATCAACCGCACGAGTTGAGGCGGTATAGAACGGATGCTGGGTGGGTCTAAGGAGCTGTAATCTTTACCCTGAACCTACCCCCGTGGTGTCCTGAAACCGCAGAATAAGTATAGAGAGAGGCATGTGTCTGGAACCTTCAAAGAAACGAATAGACCACCAAAAGGTACTGTTATTTCTCTGTTATCTTCTGTAAGAAGGAGGTTTCCAGACGCAAGCAATGGCGCAAGGAATTTTTTTGGTATCGCAAGCGTTTACACTCTCTACTGGTTGTGGCAGCCGCTTACCATCAGAAGGGCCATATACTTGTGTGCCACCCTTTTTACATAAAAGAACGCTATCGATGAACACGATGTTTAATGATAATACTTGTTCAACTTACACTAGGAAAATCTGTAGCGTTTAAATTACTTCTTTGCTTTTCGCTGGTGCCCACAGTGCAACTGAAATTTCACGGAAATTTTATCATGACATGACAGTAACAATTTTTTATTAGGAACAAATACCATAGCTTTTTGTGGTTGCCAAAAAGTGACTGGTGAACTTAATACTGGCTTGGGCAGAGTTCATATGTCTGAGGATCCTATGGTATCCAAGCGATGATAGCAAGACTCTCATAAAGCTAAGTAGACCAACATTGCTCATGATAACAGAGATCCAAGCACGAATTTGGACAGCTCCGTAATCGAATCGCATCGTCAGTTTCTCAGGTCCTACCTACAAACTGGCTCCTTCAATACAAATTTTTAATGACGATACTTTTACGAAGCTATCAAAATTCCTACTTGGACCTCAGGTGCTACTACCGGATAAAGCAATTTGAACAGACATCCTTTCAACCTAGCCTACGTGTAATGGATAGCTCTCTTTGCAAAGGATGCATGGAGGTAGAAGAAACAGTTACAGGTGAAATACTTCGGCTCACCGGGAAACCTCCAAGAGGCAATCCCCAATGTGAAGGCCCTTGGGACGTTCCTGGTGGAGCTGGACTGGGTGGAGTGACTCCGGCAACACACCCTCCTCACGCAAAAGCGGCGCCATGAGAACGTTGAGTTTGCAGGAACTCCCGTTGGAAAGAAAAAAAAGGAGAACCTAGTTATTCGGAGTGATAGAATATTGTCAGAATCTTACCTGTAACCGTTTACACGATGTAGCGATTTTTTTATTCCAATTGTGATGACGCTTCCAACTTCTGCGGCGATGTTTTTGATTTGATTCCCGTCTTGAGTGCATTGCGTGTGATTATTCTCCATTGTGAGAATGTAATACACTGTGAAGTTTTTAGGCTGGTGAATTTTGTCTGGTGAAAAATAGGTGCTCAGTAAGTTTAAACCCAGATACAATTTTATTTTAACTGAATTAAAGCGCCAGTACCGTTTACCCAATTTAATTTTATCTTTATTTATTTAGTCTTTATGTATTTTATCTTTATGTACATAGAAATATATACCTTCAGGTCTAACATAAAAATAAAATATAAAACATAACACAAATCTGAAGAAAATTATACTAGAAAAAAAATTACGCGGACAAGGCAGCAGAGGGAACTCGAACCCGCACCCTCGGATGCACTGACCATTATGTGACCTGTGTCGCATTTTCTCTAGTATTTCTCAGGCTGCAAGGCAGCGCCATCTCTTCGAATTGTGGGTAACCCACAATGTCAAATGCATACCTTTACAAGTATTAAACATTTGAAAGAAGAAATAGCAATTATAGTTATAAATAATAAAAATTCACCTTGGATATTTACTTAATCAGTTATTTATTCTTAGTTGTATGTTACATTTGTTTTAAGGTATTTTTGATTTATTTTATTAATAAGTTCTCTCGTTAACTATACTCCACTTAGCTTTTACCTTATTATTTGCCTGCTTTAGTTTTTATACTTTATTTTTTTAGCACACTTAATAGATTTTTTAAATATTTTTGCTTATGTTTTACCCCGATTGTAAACCGGCCAGTGCGTGTCGTGCTACGCGCAGTGTAGGGTACCGTAGTTGCCTGTAGTTACCACAATATATTTGAGCAGAATTCTTTATTTTCCATATCGGAAATTAGATAAACCAATTAATATCAATCTTATGTATCTCAACTAAAATATCTAAATCAATGTCAAACTCTTATATACTAATTAGAGGAATTAAATCTTAAATATATTTCACATATAAGAGGTTCGTTGACGGCTGTACTGGTATTAACTGTGTCACAACCGTCAGCGACTCCTTCCATGATATTTTGTCATGGGGATGCAAAAAAATTAACCTTATTTAAACCATCTAAAATATCTAACTAACCAAAAATAAGAAAACATTTCAATTTTGTTTTGTTTTAAACCGACTGTGTACTTTTGCGCGCGCTCGCGTGTGCGTGAGTGTGTGTTTGTGTGTGTACGGTGCATATTAGTGAGTGTACTGTATGTCATATATGATTATGCATGTTTGTTCTCATGAGTGGCAAAGCAACATAGCATATGGGTGACTTATTTAACAACAGATAGACAATTTTCCGACTCCATATAGTTAAGCTTTTGAAGCCAGTCCCTGAGTTTTTCTTTACACTTAATATATGTTAGTGGATAAACATTATTGAAAATACGAATGCTAATTGCCGTTTTTTTTTGTTTCCACGAGGAGCGGATGTAAAATTCACATGGATACCCTACAGCCGGCTGCTAGGTTATGTCAGACTCTAACTGACTAAAACACACCCGTGGTTCATGCTTATGGCCAGAAGGGCCTTACAAGCTTCATTTGAAGCGATCATCCCCTGAGAATGGGATTATGAGGTAACCGATATGATATAACCGCCGATCTTTTCAAGTGGTTGTATATATATATATATATAAAACTCAAAGGTGACTGACTGACATAGTGATCTATCAACGCACAGCCCAAACCACTGGACGGATCGGGCTGAAATTTGGCAGGCAGGTAGATGTTATGACGTTGGCATCCGCTAACAAAGGATTTTGATCAATTCTACCCCCAATAGGATAAAATAGGGAATGAAAGTTTGTATGAAACTTTGTCAATTTTAAACCTTTGAGACTTTGCATGCAGGTATAAGTAGAATCATAGATGAATGTCATTGTGTATAATACAAGCCTGAGAACAAAAACTGTAGTCTACACTTCAGCTCTACACCGAAGCGATGCGAGGGCGGGCCGCTAGTTTTTTTTATAAAAAACGTAACATTAGCGCGACTCAGAAGCCATTGCCGTTGGTACTCGCGGTAGAGTTGTGGAACTAATTTTATTTTAATAATAATAATAATAATAATAATAATAATAATAATAATAATAATAATATTCTTTATTGACATACACCTCACAGGAAATACAAGACATTAAACATGACAGTGAAAACGTACACAATAGGCGGCCTTATTGCTAAACAGCAATCTCTTCGAGGCAACCCATGACAGTGAAATAAATAAATAAGAGGAACAAGAAGGGGTCTAATGTGGTCTTAAAACATATTTTTAGGCTTCCGTACCTCAAAGGGAAAAAACGGAACCCTTATAGGATCACTTTGTTGTCCGTCCGTCCGTCTGTCAAGACCGTTTTTCTGAGGAACGCGTGGAGGTATCAAACTGTAATTCATATCTAATACTCAGGTCTACTGTCCCTTGGAGCTGTGAAAAAATCAAACTTGTAAGCCAAAGGAACCAAAAGATACAGCCGTTTATGCCGCAAATTTTCGAAACACGCACGGGAATCAAAACCTACAGAGTACTTCCCGTGAACTTAGAGTCTTGAAATTTGGTACCAAGCAACGTCTTATAGTACAGATAAAGGGAAAATTGCGAAAACCGTAAATTTTTAGTTACATCATATAATATAAAATATTTTTGAAAAATTTAAAGTTACTACCTCTTTTCTCATGAACGCGTAGAGGTATTAAATTGATTTTGTACGGAACCCTCGGTGCGCGAGTCCGACTCGCACTTGCCAATTTTTGTCAGATTTTTTTTCTGCAATGCAAGGTTAAACGCAACAATAACTTCATTTATGTCACAGTTAATGTTTTCTTCTAAGGAATTTCCTATTGAAATTGGTAAGGAATTTTCTTTAACCAAAGTTGAACAACTCTTACTCTTATACAGTGGAGCCCCGGTAATCCGGCCCCTGGCTAATGCGGCACCCCCTATAATCCGACATCGTCTATTACATACAAGTATTCGTAATTCACGATTGAACAAGTTACAACTTGTACGCACAATCACTATTTATTAATATTACTTTTATAATAAAACGTAATCTTTCTATTGTGTTGTTTAATTTACTAAATTTGACATACATAACGAAGTATGATTTGTAATCTTATCATTGGATCTGTAATTTGTCGGATTACAAGGTACTCTTTTGTAAAAATATTCGAACTATAGGAGGTCTTAGGCAGTACTCTATAATCCGACAAATTCGATAGTTCGACACTGCCCTGCAGAATGTTTGTCGGACTACCGGGGATCCACTGTACGAACAAAACTATCTTAACCGTTATAGTTTTCCTTAAAAGTTCATGAAAAGCCTACTATCATGAATTTTTCCACGTTTTTCAAGTCAATAGTTTAGCTTTAAGAGTTACGTTCTACTCGATCAAAAATTAGCACTTTGAAGTTGAAACCTACAAAAATATAAACACATACTTATAAGTCCTTCATAACTAGGTACGTCTTAAAGACAACACCTGTGTTAAAATACAAATCTAGGTCAAAAATAAATATTTTGACTTTAAATGATTTTATACTTAAATTGTTTCGAAAAATAAATAATAGCTTAATAAAAGAAAAAAGTTAAAAAATGCTTTATGTTTAAAGACATTAATAAACTAATCACTTTACTAATGGAACATTAATATACTATTAGTTTCTTAGGTTTTCACGCACATCACTCATTAAATAAAACTAGTTATAACGGGTTAATGCCCGAACTTTATTTATTTACTAGTGGCCCGCCCTCGCTTCGCTTCGGTGTAGAGCTGTAGTGCAAACTATAGTTTTTGTTCTCAGGCTTGTGCTATAAAGAATGACTTTATTTATATAATTACACGTGTTATTGTGAGTCAACCATAAAAGATAGACATATGCTGTTCCGGGATATTTTTTAGACAATTTTATGTAGAATATTTCCGTCATACATGATTTCTATGTAACTTTAACCATTAAGGCTGCACCCGCGACGGAAGCTTAAAAAATGGAGTAACTTCTCCCGTTTTCCCAACATTTCCCTTCACTACTCTGCTGCTATTGATTGTAGCGTGATGAAAAGTATACTATAACCTGCCCAGGAGTATGAAGAATAATTGTACCAAGTTTCGTTAAAATCCGTTGAGTAGTTTTTGTTTCTATAAGGAACATACACACAGACAGACAGACAGGCAGACAGACAAAAATTTTACTGATTGCATTTTTGGCATCAGTATCGATCACTAATCACCCCCTGATAGTCATTTTAAAAATATATTTCATGTACAGAATTGACATCTCTACAGATTTATTATAAGTATAGATTGTCGGCTCGCAGCCTTTTCAGGTCTGCATCGTCAGAATAATGATTTTTTATTTACTTTGTCGAGCTAAGACCGAACTCTCAGTAAAAGTCTTTCGTACCAAAAAATAGTTTTTTATATGTTTTATTTTTAACTTCGTTATAATTTTTATGCACTCTTTATTTAAAGGCGATCCTCTCCGGCCTGCTATTTTAGTTTTGTAATACAACCCATTATTGAATAGCTAAATCCAAAATGTTATGTGTGGCACCTTGATGACGAGACTATCGCTGGTGATATTATAACAGTTCTTTCAGATATTCATGTTATTATTGGTTATTCAAAAATATAGTTAGGCCTTGATCTAAATTATTCAAAATGAGAGCTATTCATTCCAGAATCAAAATTTTCTCCTGATCAGTTACAATACATTATTACCAAAGCTGTTTTAGCTAGTCATAAAATTCTTGATTTTAAAAGACTCCGTCTCTTAGGTTTGATGCTATTCCGATTATTATTGATGAACAAATTTCCAAATTTCAGCAGTCCTCCGAAAAAACGGTTATAATTAATCCTCCACATGGTTTGTATGTAAGTCGAGTGAAGCGAGACCAATCATTCATCTATGATTATGAATTAGATTTACGTTGGGGCACCATTATGCGTGGCATGACACTCCAATAATTTAACACTTTACAGAGCAATGCTTTGAAAATGCTCAGGAGTGATGTTGCATCGGAATTTTTCTTTTTGCAGCATCCAGCTAGATGACCCACCCCAACTATACTAGCATGACGCACTGTCCCATGTTGTTGACTTGGTTACACCAATTAGCCTTTATATTACATAAACATATTGACATTCGTACCTTGCTGAGTTTGTTGAATTTGCTGAGTTTGTTGGATTTGCTGTGTTTGTTGAATTTGCTGAGTTTGTCCAACGCACACTTTCACAATGAAAAATCCAATTGACAGCGTGATATAAAATGTTTTGATGAACATTTTCACAGACACTTCACACGGTGTATTTGATCACTCCTGTTTTCATTGTAACGATAGGGAAGGAACAAAGGAGTGCCAGAAGGGTGACAATCCGTCACGTTCGTTGCTAATATTATTATGAATTAATCATAACCGTAATTGTTTTGTCATAATTTGCGTCATTGAAATTGTATTACTGAATTTTTGGATTACCTATCCTTAATCCTTCCTTGGCAACGTAGCAATAGACAACTTAAAATTCTTTATGGAACTCTATGGTGTCATAGGTGTAGTGGTTACCGCATGCGGGTCTTCATCATCATCAGCCTATTAATGTCCCCATTGCAGAGGAAGACCCCTCCCCTATGGATGGAGGAGACTCGTCCGTGACTCACCACGCGGGTCAGTGAGTGAGGATTCGGGTCTTGGTGACTCTGTGTAAAAAATAAACCAGGGGCAGAAAAAACTCTTTTAATAAAAAAAAAAAAATTACGACACAAATAATGCGTTACGCATAACCCGCCTTGGGAGTTCGGCGTGGTTATGTGGGACTCCTCCGCTCCTCCTCTCGCCCACCCGCTCAGCCAGCCCGAAAGTACTATAGTCAAATTAATATCTGGAGTCGGTGCCATGCATGTCTCATAGATACATCTAAGTTTTCATTTTGCTGCTTGGGTTAGCATGGCACGGACACCAAATATTAATTTGACTATAAAGGTACTATATTTACACTTAATTCAATGCAACATTTATTGCAGCCCATAATGGTGATAATTAAAAAAAAATGGGTGCGTGTACTTATGTAGGCGCGTGAGAAGTTATCCTTCTTTGGCATCGTTTAAAATTAGTTTTTAATTGCATGCAAATAATTAATTACAATAAATTAATAAAAAGTCTGGAAAAGGACACAGTCAATAAAGTTCAGTTTTAATTTGAAAAAATAAATAAATAATCAAAATATTCAATTAAAATCGCTACTGAATATAATTTATTAGAACATATGTGATTTGCACTTGTATGAAACTCAAACACGTATTCCGAATATACAAACTAGAAACATGTGGATAAATATTATAAACTAGCGGCCCGCCCTCGCTTCGCTTCGGTGTAGAGCTGAAGTGTAGACTACAGTTTTTGTTCTCAGGCTTGTATTATACACAATGACATTCATCTATGATTCTTCTTATACCTGCATGCAAAGTCTCAGCCCGATCGGTTTAAAATTGATAAAGTTTCATACAAACTTTCATTCCTTATTTTATCCCCTTGGGATTTTCTTTATATTTTTTTCCGTAAGAACCTTGTACAGAGTATTAGAAAACTACAAAAAAAAAAACAGCCAAATCGGTCAAGCCGTTTTCATGTTATGTCGTGACAACGGAAAACGGGTTTCATTTTTATATTATATAGATATGAAAACAGTCTCTGTTCTAAATTCAAAACTCGTAACTTTTCCCGATGTTTGTTGCACGTGTTTCCCGCGCTAGGACCGCGAGTGGCCGCGCATGCGTACGGTGCGGCGGGCGACGCGGTAATGGCAGCGCGGCACATGAAGTTGGTCGCTAAAGCGACCAACTTCATGGTGTTAATTTTTTGTGTTACATGATGCGCGCGCATCTTAAAATTTCACTCTCAACAATTTTTCAGAACGCGCCTAAAGAAGTATAACTTCAAAAAAACGATGCACTCCGGGAGTGCCGGCAGAAGTTAAAACATGAATATTGTGCATTTATGATATTTTGGAATGGTCAGGGAATAATTTTGCACGAATTGCTTTAATTTTCAGTAAAAAAGTACTATCATGTATGTGGTAGAATACAATATTTATTTATTGCGCTATCGTACACAAACATGACAATTTATATTACATTAAAAAAGTTTATCTCTCAGAAAAATCAACTTACATGAATCACGTTTAAGCGCACTTAGCGACATCTATTGTAAAGAAATCAACTTACATGAATCATATTTAAGCGCACCTAGCTGCCACGTGGACGTCCTAGATAGAGACTTCTTATTATTATAATAAGGTAAAATAAAATATATCTATGTTTTGTCCAATATATTGACCCATTTAATTGGTACTTTCCAATTTTATTGTCTGTCAAGATGCGATCAGCCCACGTGTTTAACCTGACGCGAGTTTACCATTTTTACCCATACAAAAAAAAGTGTACAACGCCGCTAAAGAAGTTTTCACTTCAGAAAAGTGCATTATGGACCCTGCAGGGTATCGCAATTGAAAGAAGAGAGGACGTCTTATTCATAATTCCTTATTGTGATATAATTTGTTATATCCAATGAATTAAAAACCTATAAAAATTATCTATTCATACTACTCCAGATATTGTTGACTGAGATTTACGATTTATTTATTCATATAAGTATTATATTATATCTTTTAATAGTAAAAATAATAATATGGTATTAATTATATTTATTGAAGTTATACTTCTTTAGGCGCGTTATGAAAAAATTATGAGAGTGAAATTTTAAGATGCGCGCGCATCACTGTAACACAAAATTTTACTTTTGTGTTTACCGCACATTAAGAAAATCTACCATCAAAATAGAAATAGAATCTCTATTTAGTGGGTGCTAACGACTGCATTGTGAAGGCCTATCAAAAGTATTTATTAATCTGAAACAACGGAACCAAAGCGCGATTCAGGAGACTACAGCGCCATCTCATGACCATTGGTGTAGTAGAACCAAAAACCACATCTTTATTTTTTGTAATAGAGTAACAGTTATAGGTATTCATATTTATAATATCAAAAGTATTTATTAATCTGGAACAACGGAACCAAAGCGCGATTCAGGAGACTACAGCGACATCTCTTGACCATTGGTGTAGTAGAACCAAAAACCACATCTTTATTTTTTGTAATAAAGTAACAGTTATAGGTATTTATATTTATAATATTTATCCACATGTTTCTAGTTTGTATATTCGGAATACGTGTTTGAGTTTCATACAAGTGCAAATCACATATGTTGTAATTATATTCAGTAGCGATTTTAATTGAATATTTTGATTATTTATTTATTTTTTCTAATTAAAACTGAACTTTATTGACTGTGTCCTTTTCCAGACTTTTTATTAATTTATTGTAATTAATTATTTGCATGCAATTAAAAACTAATTTTAAACGATGCCAAAGAAGGATAACTTCTCACGCGCCTACATAATACAAGTAAGTAATAAGTACATGCACCCATTTTTTCCATAGTAGTTTTATCATTTAGGTATTCCTGGAGGCTATAATAACATTTATTCAATAAAATTAACTTATTTTTTTTAATAAATACATTGTAATTTTCTTATTTTTTTTGATTTTCAGGTAATTTATTATAGATTGTTATAGACATATTATAAGTGCTCGATGAGCATAATTTAAGGCGAGCAGTTGGAACCATTAGCTTTTTATTGTCTCGATGTATATTTTGAAGGAATGTTTTCTCTTCTAGTAAAAAAAAAGGGGTATTTTTTAAGTAAAGAAGATACATTAATTCTTAATTTTAATTGGTACTAATTATTTTTATGAAGTAACTCGCCAACAATAAGCTTGATATTGTATAATCGTTGCCTTTGCAATATGTAGGTACCTAATTTTGTTATTTTTACATTGAAAATGGTACCGGAACCAAAATCTGTACTATTAAATAAAGAGAGAAAAGGATACACTGACAGACTGACTCATCAACGAACTGCCGAAACGGCTGGACCTGGAATGATGAAATTTGGACAGTAGGTTCGTATTATTGCCTAGATGAGTAATAATCATTTAAAATATTTGTTTTTTTTGATGCGAACGTCTTTCCTCTCGCTTTCTTGCAAATTTTTGGGAGTGATTTCATGAAACTATTGGTCTCAAACTATTGGTGAGTAATGTGAGTCATTAATTGTAGATGTACTGAATTAATTAATTTACCTGGATTATATATTATTATTTATTGTGTGTAAGAATTATATAAATTGTAATTAAGTGACAAGTAAAAAATTGACATTGTAATTAATATATTTAACATTTATTATGTGTAAGAATAATATAAATTGTAATTGACTTTTTAACAAAAAATATGACATTTTAAATATAACGTGACTTAAATTGACTAAGCTCTGAATGACATCAAAATGAATTGACATTGTAATTAATATATTTGACATTTAATTGGCTATTAATAATTGAATTTAAATTGTATAACTAACCACAAAAATTTGACGATGGGTAGGCTTAAAACCAGCTGCACCTACTCATTTTTCCAATTCATATTTAATACTTATATCTTTATATATATAATTCTTCTGTGAGTGTGTATGTCACTGAACTTCTCTTAAACGACTGGACCGATTTTGATGAAATTTTTTGTGTGTGTTCAAGGGGATCTGAGAATGGTTTAGATTCACAATTTTGTCCGCTGGACAACCCCTATTTTTTTAGTTCGCTGGGTCAGCTAGTATAATGTAATAATAAGGTATGGAAATAAAGCACTTGTATTTGTATTTATAAATGGTACGGTGAAGAGTGAATGAAAGTGTGTAGTAAGAAGTCGCGAAACCGCGCGCTATTTGATTTGATTTTAGAACATAATGTTCAAATGGTGTAATTCCTTTTATAGTTGGTTTTATTTCTTTTTTTACTAATATAAGGTGAGGTTTCAAATGTTACACATCATACGCGACTAGTGTAAGGCTCGCTCGTTTTTTTTAACAACACACACCAATTAGCCTAGCCCCAAAGTAAGCACTATAAGGCTTGTGTTATAGGATACAAGGGTAACGGACAGAATAGATATACAGTACATAAATAAATATATTTATATAGAAATACATATTAAACATCCATGACAGCAATACAAATGCTCGTATTCATCACACAAATATCTGCTCCCACCGGGATTCGAACCCGGGACCTCTCGAGTCGGCAACACCATGAAACCCGGCGTACAAACCACTCGGCCACGGAGGTCGTCTTATATATAGATATTTATTAATATCCTGTTGTCATTGCAATGTGTGGTCACCCCACACTGTTATAAACGATACAGGATAAATGACATATTTTCCTGATTACTAATATGTTTCATTTGGACATATTTATCTTCCGTAACATCATTATGAGTACTTATTTATATACATACAGTGATTTTTTGTTAATCAG